CACTGCGCGTATTAAAATTTGTTCATGAGGGTCAAAATGGGAAAGGGTTCTGTATATACAGGGTCGGATCCAGAATTTTTTGGTGCTTGAGTTAATTAACTTTTAGGTAAGCTCAAAACTCCAAACTTTTTAATGCTCGTACTTATGTCATTTAAGAATGCTTTGCCAAAAATTGCGTTGATTAGAGTCTGGAAACAAAAGTACCCTAGAAAGTAGGTATCACCTGCCCAAATGAGAGGGTAAATGATTTTTCGAAAAAAAAAGTTACTTCCTTTAATAACATTCAAATGTGTATCTATAATCAAAAAATCATCAAGCGTTCAAAAGTTATAGCCATTTAAAGTTTAGAGCCCCCTCAAAACGAGAGGGAAATTCCCCCTCAAAGTAAACCCCCTCAAAACGAGAGGGAAATTCGGTCCAATTTGCCGTTGATGGAGGGTGGGGGGTGTCACCCGCCCTCCCCCCGCACCCCCCTATCGCGCCGGCCTTGGATATAGGTATATATCGTCCTCTCAGTATTATCATGTTCTATCTACAAATGTAATAAATAAATTGTTCTACCTAATATGTAAAATAAATACAATGTTCTATGTAATATAATATATTATACCAAGTAGAACATTGTACTTATTTATATATATATTTTTTGTATTTCTTTTTTATATATTAGATAGAACATTTTATTTATTACATTATAGATAGAACAAGATAATACTGAGGGGACGATATATACCTATATCCACTATATCTATAATCACTTTAAAAAAAAAAAGAGTTATTGATTGCGTTCACTGATCTATATAATAACTTATAGAGATCAACTTATAAAGATCAGTGATTGCGTTATGTACCTTAAAACGGCGCGAGCAAGTGACACGTGGAGGGGGGGGGGGGAGGGTACCATTAAAACTTTTGCCGACTTATAGGTCCTCGATTTTTAAAATTTGCCGACTGCATATCGACCCCCCTATCGGCGGCCCTTCCTCAAAATAATGTTCTTTTACTAGTTATAATCAAAAAAGTTACGGAGAAAACGTAAGTACTAAAAATCTATTTATATGCCGTCTCCTAAAGTTTTTATTTTTTAAATCGTTTTTTCTTAAAAGTATAAAATGTGAAGATAAAAAAGCTAACTTTGCGAGATGAAAAAAATAGCTTATTTTATTTAAAAAAATAGGGGACACCCGGGTTTGAACCGGGGACCTCTCGATCTGCAGTCGAATGCTCTACCACTGAGCTATATCCCCATGATACTTAGAGGCAAAATTATAGATTTACATCTAATAGTAAATATTATTCAATTTTTTTTCAATTTTTTCTTTTAATTTTTAACTTACTATACCTATGTATAGCTAGCTGTACGTTTATATAATTATAGTTTTATGATAACTGTGTAATTAATCCCTTCGATACAAGTTTATAATACACAATATATTCAGAACTTTGAAAACGAAATCTAATAAAATATAAAGTATTGTAAAAAAATTTATAATATTAATATAAGTTTAAGTTATGCTTTTTTTAATTTTACAAATAGTAAATTAAGCTTTGTTTAATATAAAAATTATAAAAGTGTTACATATTAGTAATTTTTATATTATAAATTTTTAAATTAACCTCCACTTCTCACGGGGATATAGCTCAGTGGTAGAGCATTCGACTGCAGATCGAGAGGTCCCCGGTTCAAACCCGGGTGTCCCCTAGCTTTTTGCCTACAAAAATTATATTAAAAAATGCATTGAAAACTATATCATAGATATGCAAAACAACCTGCCATACATAAAAATTTTTTATTTTATTTTAGTTTCAATAATGCCTAATTTGTTATCGTTCCGGCGGTGCCACATTTTTACTGTCAAGATAAGTTTTAAGGATTTTTTTTACTGTTCAAAATATGTATTTTCTTAAAAACTATTTTACCCGTTATTACGAAAAAATTCTTTGATAGCGGAAAAAAATTAAGAAAATTAGAAAAATATATATTTTTGAGAAATTTTAAACAAAAAAGACGCAGAGGAGAAAGAGATTTTAGACTCACCTGCTAGAAAGATTTAGACCCGAAAATTTTTAATGAACAATGACTCTAAATGCTGTAACTATTTGTTTAAGTAGTACATTAAAGGGTGTCAAAAATTACTATCAGGATCGCTTTTAGCTTAAACTTCAACAATAAACTTCTTGATATACGTCTAAGAGTGCTATGAAGTTAATAACCACAAAGCTCTATTTACTCATATAGACTTTTAATTAATAAGCGCGTATTAGCGATTATTTAGCGATAAATTATAAAAATATATATATAATGTATAATATCACAATTTTAAAACGAAAATTAGTTAGCCAAAAGAGATGATAGAGGGGTCGTCCACAAATTACGTCACGTAATTTTTACCTCCAACACTCCCCTCCCTCCCTCCCCAACATCGTAACACTTTAGTAGCAAGCTCCGTACGAGTCGTCACAAAACAACTTACTCCTCCCCTCCCTCCTAAAGCATGACGTAATTTATGAAAGACCCCGGAGTTAATTTTAGTTTTGTGTTTTTGGCATTAACAACGTCAGACGGTAAGTTACTCCAATTATAAACAACCTTGAGGGATAAGGAGTATTTGTGTATTGGAGGGATAAGGAATATTTATGTATTGGGGACTCGGCACAAACTGGTTGCGGTACATCTCTGATATGTACTATACGCATTCACTCAGCTCTACAAAAGGTGTCGTCATCAAGCAAAAGTGATGAAGGACGCTCTCGAGTTAACGCATGAACTTACAAAACTTTTAAAATATTACAGAAGAGAGATACAATGCTTGATGCTTTTTAAAAAAAGCCAGACAATTTCAAATTCCGACGAAGATTGCATAGAAAACATAATATTGTTGTGCTGTATTCTCAATTAGTCAAATGAGCAACTTAGTTGTCTACATTTTTGAGCAGCTTATCCTGTCTCATAGCAATCATCTGAGTGAATCACTTCAAAGCCCCACCTTATCTGCAGTCTAGGGACAAAAGTTTTAAAAAATTTATGTAGCTTTTAGTTAAACTAAATTTTATCTCGATTGATATTTAGTATCTTATTAATTTTAAATTTAAAAATGATTAATTGTGAAATTCACATAATTTTTTTTGGTAAAATATTAGCTCTATAGCGGATTTGCTAAATGTAGATGAACTTTTACAAGTTTAAAAATACCAACGATACTTCTACGAAAGCGTGTGGCACCAAAGAAGTTAGAAAAACTTTGTTCTTATAAACCTACCAGATCAACTCAATCAGATAAACTGAAAAATCTTTATTGCAAGCACTGTTATACTGTTATGAAGCACTTCATTATATAGTGGCAAGGCCGTCTTGAACGGGAGGAATAGGGTGTGTTCCTACCCCCCAAAGCTGTCATATAAGCATTTGAGTTAGCACATTGAGCAAGTTTTGAACTATAGTTGTCAAAGAGCAAATATTGAGGACCTTTTTTTTTTTTGGTGTTTCAAGTTGGCAAAAAATACATACAACACCCCCCCCCCCTCATAAAAAACCTCTTCGGGACGACCCTGTGTAGTGGATTACATTATTATTGTTTTTTTTTTTATCTATTTTTTCTTTATTTTTAACAACTATTTTATTAACTTGAAAACTTTAAAAATTTTCTTTAAATTATTTTATTAACTTATCTCTATTTTTTAGGTTTGATTTTTATTTATTTTAATTTACAATTTTCTTTTGTTTATAGCTTAGTAACTAATGATAACATACTTAAAATACAATCTTAACTTAGTTGTGTTCATTCTGTGAAGAATTTTATTTCATAGCTAAGCTAAAAATACAGTTTTTTTAGCATACTAACCTTTTTTTATTATTATTATTATTATTATTATTATAGCTGTAGCCGTAAATTTACATAGAATGTACACATACAGCGAGAAGGGAAAACACCCCACTATAAACAACCAGTTTTATAAATATTTGTTCCAAACTTATTCCACAACCTGGAGTCTAGTCTATTTTTGAAGGAAAGTACAGTGGAGTACAAAGTTATTTGCTCAGGTAGTTCGTTTTTGCCCAGTATCTGCTTTCAAAAATATTTAAAAAAATCTGATTTAGTCAAATATTTGCTATGTTTAGTGATACTTGGGATTTATATTATATACAAGGGATTTATATTATATACAAGGGATTTATATTATATACAAGGGATATATATCGATAAACTTTAAGTTTCGTAGTATAATCTTTAAACTTTAAACTTTAAACTTTAAGTTTCATAGTATAATCAGCGTTCAAAAGTTATGACCATAAAAAATTTATAATCTCCTTAAATTGAAGGAAGTTCATACTTTATATGATCATAATTTTTGAACGCTAAAATATCATGCTATGAAACTTAAAATTTATCGATATATATCCCTTGTATATAATATAAATCCCGCGTATATAATATAAATCCCTTGTATACAAAATAAATCACTAGCATCATTAAACATAGCAAATATTTGGCTAAATCAGATTTTATTTTAATTTTTTGTTTGTTTTAGGTGCCTCAAGAAGACCTAACAGTCTTGTCACAGAGCCGCGTGGAAGAAGAAGTTCACGCCTCCTTCCTTCCGATAACGCGAAAGATTCCATAAACCATTAACTATTTGCTGATTTAACAATAATTTTTAAGATTGAGCCATCTGGACTATCAAAAAGGTGGTACTAATATTCTGAGACTGAAAAGAGGATTTCGAAGACTTGAAAGCAGCAAAGTAAATTTAATCCAGTGAGATTAAATTTTATTTGCCCTAAAAAAATGTTGTATAGGGATTTATAAAATTTTTCTTAATATAGGAGACTCAGTTATTTTTAATATTTTAGCAGTTTTTAGTTTAAATAATTTTTACCCTTGCTATTATAACTCTTCTTGATGTAGTTTTATATTTTATTTTTAAGAAATGAACTCGCAAATGGAAAATTTGTTCAAATAAAACAAAAGCAATCTAAGGAGTCCACATGACGTACGGATATTGTAAGTTGTTTTGTGTTTAAAAAAGAAAAAAAAATTCCGTCTAGATCACTAGCAAAAATTATGGAAGAAATTGAACGAGTAAGAACGAGATTTTTAGTATTACAAAAAAGATTAAAAACTGAACGCCTATTCGTAAAAAATGAAAAGGAGCAACTTCGAATATTAAATGAAAAAGTTGGAAGTCTTAGTCAAAACTTGTTTTATTTAGAGTGGAAAACTAGACAGCAATGGTTAAATGTTGATCGATTAGTCTGGGGAGGTAGAGCCAATCCTTCAGAATGTAGTGTAACTTCTAGAATAATTGAAACAGCAAAGTTTGAAGATGCTTCCAATTATTTGAGTTACGAAGATTATAAGTATGGGCATTTTCTTCTCTGTTTGAAAGAAAACCCTCGCCTTATTGCGTTAATACTAAACTATTGCGATACGAAACGTATACAAAACAGTACAATGCAACTTGTAAAGTTGTTTCTGTCCTCATTGTATGGAAGTTGTATTCAACAAGTTGATGAAGTTTTAGTATTAAAAATCCTAAAAGAATTAATGATATTGCAAGTATTTCCTTGTGAGGACTTATTAGATTTTTTCTGCGGAAAGAGATCAACTGATAATGCTTTTGCTTGCGTTATGACTATTTTTTCAGGGTCTCTTTTTTCATCTAAGCTATATTTAACAGCTGCATTGCATGGATCGGTAATGCAAGTTATTGTTGATGATTCAATATTTCTAGATGTTGAGGTTTCAAAAGCTTTGTGTCGAATTGCTCCAAAAGTAGCAGTAGAAAAATTTGGTCGCCCTGGAACTGTTGAGGCTCATAATAAAACTAAACAGCACATGAATATGTTACACAATCATTTAATCCATCTGTGTAAAAAATTTTTAAAAAACCTTGTAGACAAAGTTTATTGCTTTCCTCAAAGTTTGTGTTGGGCAATTGGGCAATTGTACCAAGGGATGGTTCAAAAAATGAAACTTCCTCAGGCGAATGCCAAAGCACTTATTGGACACATTATCATGAGTTATTTTATATGTCCTGCTATTATAAACCCTGAACCTTATGGTATTAACTCTGATGCTGATATAAGTGAAACTGCTAGGCATAACCTGGGGCAAGTTGCTAGTATTCTAAGATCTTTAGCATTGTTAGAATGTGGACTAAAAGATGAAAAGTTAACAAATATATTAGAAAATTTTGATAAGGTAAGTTGTAAAAAATTTGCAACAAGTGTAACTTACTGTTTTTTCTTATATATTATAGCAAGTTATGGTAAATTAGGTTGTGATATATATTTGGTGTATATTAGCATTATCAATCCACATTTCAGAGCCTCTTTAGATTTTATTCAATCAGTCAAGCATTATAATGCTATCTAGTATATAAATTTTATCTAGTAAAAAATTTAAATAAAATGATATTTTTATTAAATTTATAAAAAATGTTTAAATGGTTTAAAACTTATTTCTTCAGATTTTCTCTGTTTTCTTTTGATTATTAGCAGTATTATCGATTGTAGCATTGAAATAGTTTACTGTTTTAAACAAATGTTTTAAAATAAAGTAAAATATCCATCAACCAAAAATGTTGAAAATAATAATTCTGCAGTTATCATTTTATTGCAGAATATAACTTTTATACAGTTGCTCGTATGGTCAAAATCCTAATGTAGTCAAGCTGTTTTATGCATATAATTTTTTTGTTTGGCTTGTTTCAGATTTAGCGAAAAATGTAACAAAATCATCTTTTTATTTGAAAAATCATTTATATATGGTAGTACATGGTGATTAATATAAATTTTTGCAATTTTTTTTTGCAATTGCTAATGAACTGTTGCAAATATTTTTCATTAATCTCTAATTATTAGTTAAAAATTGAATAATAGTATTGCATTATTGTTCAATTTTTAACTAATATATAGAGATAAGTTATAAAAGACATTTTGTCATTAAGTAAAAAAAAATTAAAGGAAGTTTATGCTTTTATGTATTATAGGCATTTAAATTGAAATATAATATATAGTTATGTAACATAAGGGTTGAGCACCTAGTGCTCGCCACGTAACCTAGTTTTGCCACTTGGTCACTAAAAATCATGCTAAAAAATTCCAAAATTGTTTCTGAAAAAAGCTCTGACGTTCACTGTATAACTGAAGAAAGTTTGACAATTGTAACTTTAAAAAAGGTGCAAGATTTTTTAGAAAATTATTGATGCGTAATGTTAATTTTCAGAAAAGTTTTTGGATGATCACATAAGAAGTATGTTGTTTAAAATCTAATTGTATTTGGCTTTTTTTTTTGGCTGATATTAAGATATAAAAATATCTTATAGAAATAGAATTAGTGGATGAATTCGAAAAGTTGGGTATATAGGGGTGGTTGCAAATAATGAAAGCAACATAACTTCTTTTCTAGTAATCACCACTAATATTTTTTTTAAATTATATTATATATCCTTATTGTTAAACAGAAACTCTGGCACATGACTGTTTTTGTAAGGCTAAATTTTATTTGAAAATAGCCTTTTACTAAGCATGTGAATTTTTACCAGTCTTTGCCACAACCCTTTTCTAGTTGCAACCATCAGATAATTAATGCTTTAGTTTATTAAGAAATTAATATACTCACCTTTTTGTATTTTTCAGTATAATAATTGAGCAGTATAGTTTAATATTTATAATATTTTTCTTAATTAAATCCCATAAATTTTAGCTTAAAAAAAAACTTATTAGATTTTCCTATCTGGAAATTTTTCTACATATGCTACTGTTTTTACTATTCTGTAATTCTTTTACCAAAATACGGGTTGACAAATACACAGTATAGGATTAGAATATTTTGGATACCTAGTTTTTAAACAGTTTACTACTTTAGAGTTTACTTAATTTTTTCAAACATTTTTTATAACTGAATTTCTAAAATTTTGTTGCTATGGCTTACTCATTAATTTTAATAAACTTATGTAAATTTATAAATTCTGCTAAATGTAATATTAATATTTATAGAATTTTAAAAAGCTTGACTTCTTGTTGGTTTGACTTATATTTGACATGCTTGAAACAAGCAGACAAAATAGCTGGTTTAATTTTTGTTTGAGAGAAACAGGTGATTGTAGACAAAAAACAGCATTTCTAATAGTTGTCATCTTGGAGACAACGAGTATGAGCTCATATTTACAGATGTCTAAAAGACATGTTTGCGTTGGCTGGGTATAATATCAAAATGAGAGGGTGTTGAATTTCATATGGTCATTATTTTTGAGCTCTTAAAGTTTATTTGATGAAATTTAAAAACTATCGATGAATTTAAATTTAGTATAAGATAGTAAAAAAACATATTTTGCTAACTAGTTGCCCTCACATTTACAGTAAGGGATAAACTTCTTTGAGTATTTTTGTCCCTGAAATTTTTTTTTTGTTTAACATTCTGATTTGACATAAGCTTATTATTGAAATTTTTTTTTTGTTTAACATTCTGATTTGACATAGGCATACTTATGCTTGAAGTTTAAAAAATGTTTGATAGTGTCATATCTGAAAGAACATAAAATCTATTTAATGCCACTGTATAGTGTGCTGGTCAAAGTGGTAAAAACACACTTTTAATGTCAGAAATAGATTCTCTGACCCCAAAAAACCAATGACTAGATATATAATATGACTATTAGATGTTTTCTATCTTTGTATTTCTATACTTTTAGTATATTCTAGCCCACCGTGCACTGATGATAGATTGTGCATTTGCAGACTGGCTTTAAATCAATTTTCTATGACTGGTTTTTGCTTCTGTTTTTTAAGTTTTATACCTAGTTTGAAAAATATTTTAGTGCCTTTATGTTAGTTTGCAGTTATGCAGCATAGTGAAAATTTTGTTAATTGATTTTTACATTAACTCACTAATGACACACTTATGCTTTTAAAATTTTTTTATTAGATAGCTCTTTTTTATTTAGGGAGTGATCAGTGAATATATTTCAGCTCTGATTGATGGATCTGAAAAAGTTGACATAGAACAGCTTGATGACGCTATGATCATTAAGTGCTCATTGCTAATGTCTGAGCATGACCTTAAAACTATGGTAATATTTGCTTTTTTATAAAAACCCAATTTTTACCTATGTTTAAATTTGCTATTTATTTGTCATTATTTTTTAATTTCATTATTATAGGGTTTTTTTGTTGTTATTGTAATATTATCAATTTTAATAATAATAAAAAAGTAATTTTTATTATTATTGTTACTGTTGCCATTATTTTTATTGTGATATCAATTTTAATAAGACAATTTCTTATTGTTATGTGACTACAATTTAAAGTAATTAAGTTTATTTGTTTTTACAAAATAGATAGTGTTTATATTTTTTTGTTGCTTTTTTTTTTACATGACTGAGAAAAATAGCAAGAATTTACTGCAGTAAAATTTAGTTAAAAATGTAATAATGTAGAGAAATGAAAATTTAATACTGGAAAATACCATGGTGACCTTATTACCATTATTATTATTTATATTACTACTACAAGTACAACTACAACAACAAAAACTACAACAACAACAACAACAACAACAACTACTACTACTACTACTACTACTACTACTACTACTACTACTACTACTACTACTACTACTACTACTACTACTACTACTACTACTACTACTACTACTACTACTACTACTACTACTACTGCAATGATGACCATTACTACTACACCAGTACTACTATGACTACCACTACCAATACAACTAAATAAAAATTTGGCTTTTGATTTAGATCAAGTGTTTATTGTTGTTGGAAACATATAATATTCCCATTCTTAATGAAGAAGGTTATACCGAGCTTTTAGATAATCTTCCTACATTTCCACAACACTGGGCCAATGAGTTTCCACATCATTCAAAATCTGCTGTTTCAACTTCTTTGCTTATCGAAGAAAAAGTTCAGGGTCAAATAAAGGTGTAAGAATTTATTTAACTTATTTATTTTTACATGTGTATGTATATATATATATATATATAAATATAAAAATTAATATTCAAGGAATGTGCTGCATTCTTTTCTGCATTTTTCTGTATTTTATTTCCAGAAAATTAATGTATTAGCAGATTTAGAAAAAAATCCAATAAGCCATTGTTTAAAAATGTACAATTATAGGTTGAAGGATAGAGTCTGTAAATAGTGTACATAAACATATAAAGGAGAGGGAGGAGTTAATCATTAAAGTATACATATTTAAAAGTATATTTGTTTAAGAGTGAGTTTTTGTAAAAATCAGGCAGGGCTCTATAAAGACCCTTTTCAAAATGGCTATTTTTTTATATGTTAATGCTGTTTATACTAGAAGGTAAACTCAAAAGAAATAAAAAAAAAATTTTCATTTGTTTCCTAGATATTATACTTTAAAGTCTGACTATATTTTAGAACAAATGACTGAATGTAGTTGGAAGCATTTTTAAACTATAAATTAGAACAAAGTACATACTTTCCATTGGGTTTTTGAAATTATTATTTATTGGTTAGTTCAGAAACAAAAATGATAATATAGGTAAAGTAAATTATTTAGCTTGTCTAAATAATTTACTTTACCTATATTATCATTATTTAACTAATAATTTGTCATGCTTTAAAAGTACACCAAAAACAATTTATTGTCATTTTTTATCTTTATGTTCACCTAAAGCCTCCAGTATTCAATATTTTTTTTTTTATTATTTCAAATTTTTATCTCATATAGTACTTAAAAATAAAATCATACTTATAAGAAATTAAAGAGTTAGTTCAAAATCTAACTTAAAAATAAAGTTCTAGGTGATTAACACAATGTTTGTGACCTATGGCTAAAGTTTGTTTTAAAAAATGGTATAAACCTTTTATCTAACATATAAAAAATTGTTATGGGGTATTGCAATAGTAAAAAAATATTTATCATAGATGATTTCTTTTTTGATTAAGAGCTGTCTTCTGTAGGAATCAGGCAGAGCTTATCAGTGACGCTCTTCAAAATTCTCAAATATAATATTTTTCTTCAAAGTTTGACAAATATTTTAAGATTATTGACCAAATGGTGTCAAGTGCACTTTCAAACTTTAAATTAGAACAAAACCCATACTTTCCTGGGATTGTTTTATTTCATTATAATATGTTAGCTAGTTTAGATCTAAAAAATAATAAAATATATATATTAAACAGACGGCTAGTCTAAATATCATGCTTCAGAAGTATGCATAAATTGCTATTTAGTTTATAATTTTTTGCTAAACTCTAAATCTTTATTGAGTAAAGTGCTAAAAATTATAAAAATACCCAAAGGAAAGAAAAAGCTACAAACTATTTATAAATTATGTCATGCTGTAGAAGGAAAGGATGGGGGTTGTGTATGGATTTTGCAAAGCTTAGTGACAAAATGGGAAGGCTTCATAAAGCTTCAAAAAAAAAGTGTAATTTATTGCATTTTTTGTAACATTTTTTAAAATGAAAATTATTATTTAATAGAAACCTGAGCTTTTAACTAGGGTTGATTACACAGCTACCGTGACTTTAGTAAAAGTTATTATTATATGTTAGATAACTAAAAAAGTAAATAAGCAACGGAAAAGAAATTTTTCAGAGGTAAATGTAATACTTTTAAGAGTTGGTTTAAAATTATTTTGAAATTATTTATATATTTATTTAAAAGATTTAACTAAGTACTTATTTCCATAAAACTTCTAAAAATCATATGATATATAAAATATAAAAATGTATATGATAAGTGTGAAACACTTATCGTATGTATTGTTGACATTTATTGCAAACTTTAAAAGCTGCTTTAGTGTCTGGTTTATAATGTGATAAAGAGATGTGCTAAAATTATAAGAAAAAGAATCAGATAAATATGATAAGAATCTTAATTATCTGCAGAGCCTACCAGAGAGAGAGAGTCACATGGACCATTTGGACTGGGCCTCTAATTTTGTTGAAGCCTCACATTTTCAAAATACATTTTTTAAACATCAAAATAATGATTCTAAATTTCTAATTAAATTTCTAATTACACTTTAATTAATTTACATTAATTTAAGTTGAAGTTGACTCAGTTGAGTTAAGTTAATAAATCAATTTCATTTTCATAATTACAAGTTTCCAAATCCAAATCGTACATTATAAAGATTATGTCATGTAATGATGCAGTTAAATGTTATGTTTTCATAAAATTTAACTGCATCATTACATGACATTTCATAAAATTTCAATATTATTTTTAGATACCAATAATAGTAGATACCAGATAGTGGTGCTAGTAAAAGACAATGGAGGAGAGAGTTGGCTGAAGAAACACATACCAACTTGAAGAAAATGTATTCATTTTTAAAAAAATCACAAAATACAGTTCTACTTAAACCAGCAAACCAATCTCAAAGTGTCAGTGGTAACATTGATACTTCAGAGGAAATTGGGAAAAAAAATTTGAAATCTTAGACTTTTTTTGATTCTGTTGCATCTTTTGTTGTCAACTTTTCCTGTGTTTAGTTTTTGATTCCATGCTTTTTGTCTAGGTGATGCCACATTCCAGTTGTGGAACTTGAGTATTAACTGATATTTCCACATATTTTGCAAGTCAATGTTTTCCTTTGATTAAGGTGTAGTGTGTCCATACATGTAGTGTGTAGTGTCTGACATTTCTTACAGAAAGCAAATCATTTGATTGATAAATGTCACAATAAATATCACATCAAAGTAGTATAGTCTTTCTTAAAATTTTCAAAATTTAACCAACAGAATCAGTTTCCAAACAAAACAAACAACAGCTTAGTTGATAGAAAAGTGATTATTAAATTTTGATTTCAATTTTTAATTTATTGACCATGTTATTTCAAATCTTTTGAAATAATTTAAATCATATTTGAGCATAATAATTCGATCCACCATTTTTGTTTAAGTTTTGATTTTTGTTTTTGAGAAAAAAAAAAAAAAATCGAGGTGGAGGAGCTTTACGTAAAGAAAAACAGTATACATTATATGTGCATTTCTGATAGTGATAAAGAAATCATAACACAATTTTAAATAAGAATAATAAATTATGTAAAAAAAATGCAGAAGAAAGTTATGCTACGATGTAAGTTATGTTATGTTAATGATAAATGAAAGTAATTCTGATGAAATCAATGTCATCCAAAAAGTATTAAGGAAAATTAACTGGGGGAAATTGTTGTTTGATTTCCAATAATAATTGGTAATTTACAACATAAATTAAATAATAATTTATTATTCAATTTTTGTAATGTCTTTATTGAATAACTTGAATTGTGGCATTGCTTTTTAGCCGAATGCTGAATTGCTTCTTCAAGTTCATTTTTAATTGAAAGTGGATTTTTGTTAAGAATTTCTGAGCCAAAACTTCTTCAATAAATTCCAAGTCATCTGGACTCGTTGGAAAAAGCCAAGTATGACAGCAAATATTTTTCTTTTGAAGTACAAGCTTTGGAGGCATTTTGAAAACTTCATGTTCTTCAATGTCAGATAAACATTCTAAACTTAATATTCCCAATATGGCAAAAATTCCGCAAAAAACACGTTTTTGCTTTTATTGGAATATTAGTTGTTATTATTCTACAAAATATTGGGAAAAAAAACCTTATACTAAGTCTTTTTTATTTTCTTTGTTTGCAATGTGAAAGTTTTCTTACAAGTAAATTTACAGCAAAAAAATGCACTATTTTGTCAGTTTTAGTTTTTTTTATATTAAGTGTAGAAAAAAAGTCAAAAACATTTTTCAACCATTTTATTTTTTTTTTTCATCCATTTTATTTGCATTTTTTTTAAATGAAGTGCTTTCCTTATATTGTAAGGGGCTAAAGACAAAATATATTTTGCTTTTTTAACCAAAAAAATTTTTTTTTTTGAATTAGTATGGTTAATGGTGTGATTTTGTGGACATGAGGAGTGGGTAATTAAATGCAAAAAAACTCTAAACAATTGTAGGGCAGTGGCTGAAGCACTTTCATCAAAATCAAGAGATACAAAGTTTAACGTCTGCTAAGGCTATATATGAAATATTGATAAGGAAAGCAGTGTGTACAGAGTGAAGAGACTGTATAATTTATTTTTGATATTAAAAAATCCATATATTAAAGAATAAAAATAATTTATGTACATTGTTGCTAGTTATTAAATGTTGATAAATCTAGCTGGACAACTCATAAATAGAAAAAAAAAATTTTAAGTGAATATTTTGATATATGTACTAACTTGTATCAAAATATTTTGATATAAGTGATAACTTATCATAATAGTTGTTTATACTTTCAAGCAAAACATCAGATTGCTACTGAGGATGGGAAAATTAAACCTCAATAAATGAATAAATATAAAAATATCAGTAAATATAATAATATAATATACACAATAACAAAGTATAATATAAATATAATAGTTTAAGTATATAAATAATAAATTTTTAATTGTTTAGCTTGATAACACGCAACAACTTGAAGTATTACGCAATGACTTAAATAAAATTATATCAGAAGAAATCCCCATATTAATAATACCAATTAAAATGGAGTCTGACGATATTCCAGGAATGCTTTCAGAGGAAATGGTATTCAATTTATTATTTAATTATTTTTAAATATTTTTAATTATACTTAATTTTTTAGACTTTCATGAGCAATATGTGTGTATATATTAGGGTTATGACTTTTTGACTTTTTTAAAAAAAAATTAATTTCCTGTGTCATAAATCGATGAACTTTTATTAGAAAACATTGAAAACATGTTCAATTCGTCTTGGTTCTAAAAAAAAAGGTCACCTCACAATTCAAATTAGGTTTTGTCATTTATTTAATCTTGTTACTGCTACTACTAATATGTGTGGCTTTCCTGCAAATCATTTAAAATATTTGTATAAATTCGAAGTGTTTAGAACTTTAGAACATTTTGGAAAATAACAGAATATTTTAGAAGACTTAAGAACATTATAGAACAATTTAAAATATTTTGGAACATTCTAGAACAATTTAGAACATTCTAGAATATTCGAGAACATTTTAGACTATATATAGAGCTGCTCATCTAATTTTATAGTAATTACAGAAGCAACACATGGAAGCATTCAGAAGAACAAGGATGTCTGGACCAATAATCTGGTAAAATTTGAAGACTCATAAAAGAAGAAGAATGGTTCCTTTGGAAAAATATTCACTGGAAAAGTGCAGAATGCCTCTCCAAAAGCAAATTATCGGACACTACCATTTCCTTGGACCAAAAATCAAAAGAAGAAAGGAGCGAATAGTGGAAATTTCCAAAGAAGTCACCAAATTGTGGAAGAGTAAACTGAATTTTCCTCATGTATCTGATCAAGTTATACAAGCAAAGCTTGATAAAATGCTGAAATGTTATGATGAATGTGTCAAGTGGGGAAGCTACAAACCTGTTGATGAAATTTTTGATATTATTAAAGTGGATGGAACATGGTTATCTTTCAAGGACAAGTGGTTGTACCATCTCCAAATGGAAAGCAAAGGAACAGTGGGGTACTCTACAGGCCTACAGGCGAAGCGGCCAGTAAAGAAACGATCCATCCCTCTAAAAGACAAAAACTTTCTAATGCTGCACAAGAGAGTGAATAAAAGCTTCGATTCCTGCCCGAATCCTGGAAGTTATATTGGAAGCGCATTTATCAGTTGAGAGGACATCAGCCAAAGGACCATCACAAAGAAAATTACAAAAAGAATCCCAGTCAGCTTTAGGGTAGTAGTAAATATTGCGATGATAGGGTGAGTCAGAAAAGGAAGTACAAGATGAAAGATTTAAAGTGATCATTGCATGGTCATAACCACCTAAAGCAGAAAAATGAGAAACTGAACACAAACTAGTATCAGAGATGAGACATAAATCAAGTTATGAAGGTAAATGATTAGGGTTGTCAGGAAAACTAGTCACAAGCTTAACTATCTGAGTAAGAGATTGAAAAATGCAGAAGTTATAGGCTTTAGTGCCAGCAGGGTAAGTGACCAAGCAAAAGTTTAATGCTCAGTGTAATGAGCATTAAAGTCACCAATAACAACAATATTGGCAGAGGGTAAAGAGAAAGGGTATGGTCAATTTGATCAGAAGTTACATCTAAAAGAGCGCATTCTTGGGAAATCAATAAAGAACAAAAAGAAAGGTGATAGATAGAAGAGACGCTAAGCAGAAGCACATAAAAGAATGGTCAAAAGATTCGAACTGAATTCACAACAAATAGGTGAATTGATGTGTATGTATACTCGCAAGCCAAGCATGTGACTATTTTGAATCAAAGGATAGTACCCATCAACATTGAGATCAGAAGAAGGAATAGCAGAATTTAAATTAGTCTCACTAATAGCAAGCAAGTCTGGTGAATTATGCAACAGGTAAGAGGTTTTGGGTTACTATTGCATGATTTTTTTTTTTATTTGCATTCACTCCCAACAAGGCTGCAAACAACCACTATTAAGTTGGGAGTTACTAGGAAAAAAAAGAACAGAGTTATAGAGCAAGGAAACGGTTGACAGAAGACTTGAAAAGTTGAAGGTTGTATGAGTCAGGAAAACATGAAGATGGGAGAGAGTACCAAAAGATTGAAGTGCGGGGAAAAAAACTAGATGAATAAAAGTTTTTAGAGCAAGCAGGGACAGGTACAGTAAACGAATGAGACTTAGCTGAATGACGATTTAAGTATAAAAAGAACTTGACTCATTCATTGATAAAACACAGCCTTCTAAGCAATGAGCTATCAGCCCTGTTAATTAAACCTTGTAAGTTAATCATAACATAGGGCTCCTTATGCAGCCTCCATAATATGCACCAAAAGCATTAACAGGGACACCATCCATGCCCAACATGGCACTCTTAATACTCTGATGGCTTGCAGCTGTTGATGGAATCAACAACTGCAAAATATCAGAGTATTAACAGAGTTTTAGAGCCATACCCTTATTAGGAGATAACAGGAAGAGTTGCATAGCCACTATCAAGGAGACACAAGCAAAAACCTATGAGAAGAGTCAAGAAGATCCAGCATTCTTCATCCTAGGCAGGAAACAATGTAACAAAGGTTTATATCTACGAAAGCCTAATAGATGAAGGAGTTTGAGGCTGAGATCTTCCTAATAATCTTATGTCTCAACTTTATACTCCTTGACAAAAAGTCTTCTTATTTCAATTACTACTTAGAACAAACAGCTGATCTTGAATCTCACTTCTGTGACAGATTGGGGTTTGCAATGGATTGTTAATTTAAGTTCAAACTTAAACAAAACTAAAAAAAAAACTGCTGCAAACAACTATTGCAATACTTTCAATATTAATGAATGGCAACCCTCTCTCTGAGTCCTCTTCTTTACTTCTTCTTGAATGTGATGGTTGTGAAAGTAATGCTAATGTGGCTTTATATACTATTTTGATAGATATAGGTTATTTAACAGACATGTTTTCAATGCAGTTGCTAATGATACAAACTGCAACTGTATTTAAAAAACCACATGTCCATTAACATAGATAAGTTTTTTCCGGAAATTCACTTAAAACACCTTTAATTTTTCCAGAAATTCCAGATGTTTTTTGATATTATTTTGAAAAAAATTAATATATTTTTACATAAAATTTTACAACTTATGCATTTAAACAAATATGTTCTCTATAATTAAGATTTTCACGAGATCAATTTTCGTAAATTTTTTTTTTTTGCTTTTTAATTCATTCAAACTTTTTCGAATATTAGAAATTCCTTTTTGTAAAAAGTTAAATAATCTCAATTCCGTTTTAAAATAATCTAAATTCCATTTGTCAGTTAAATGCGATCAATTTTTAATAAAATAATTTTCCGGTATTATCATAGAAAAAAAATTTCAGGTGTTTTCATAAAGTCAAATACTCATCTATGCATTAAATAACCAAAAAAAAATTTTTTTTTAACATCTCACTTTAACTTTGGCAATTAGCAAATATCGGATCACATATATTTGACATCAGATGCCATTGCTATGCTTGTATTTTTTACAATGGTTTTTATATTTATGAATAATATGGCTGATGATTGCTGAAACAGTTGAAATGTTAAGTTCCATTATAAAGTTGTATTTTTTCATTTAAATTATTTTAATATAGTTTGATCTATTGTTTTAAAAAAGATATTGATCACTCTTAAACAGATGTGAATTTTACGTTGTCCAAGAGCAATTTTGCGTGTAGCTAGGGCTATTTGCGTCGAGCAAAAAATTTTTTGAGTATATTTAAAGATATTTTTGAGCGGAATTTTAATGAAGTAATTTACGATTATTTTAACATTTAATAAAGTATTTTAAAAACCGCACGCGGTTAATATAAAAGTTTGAATTACAAAAAAGTTAAATATGATCATTATTTACAAGTAGAAAAAATTCAGATTAAAAAAAAAGTTTAAATCTTTTTAAGCTAACATTTTAATAAAATTATTCAACAATAGCAAAGTTGTTGATAAAATTGAACAAAAATACATTCTTTTAGTTTTAGATTTTTAACTTAAATAATTATTTTACGGGGGTTTGTTAGGTTTTAAAATTATTCCATAGATTTAAAAATATTTATTAACTGTTAGACGTATTTAAAGTATTTAAGAGTAATTTCGAGGAAACTTTTTGAAAATTGGTAAGCGCAAATAAAAAAAAAATAAAAGGATTAATATTAAAACGTATTCTACTTGATTCAATAAAAAAGTACAGTTATTAAAATTTTTGTAAAAAGTAACTCAAAAAAACCTACTTAAATAATAACAATCGCTTTTTTGTTAAAAGTTACTGAAACTCAACAAAGTGTGCTCAAGAACAGCTGCTGAAAAATAGAACGTCAATAGTTTGATAAGTTTATATAACCTGGTTTTGTTACCCAGTTTCTATCGATGTATAGCGAATTTCCACAAACACCCTGAAAAAGGCTCAATAAACGTAAAAAATAAAATAAAAATCAATTTGCAACCTGTAATCATAAGCCATTTCATAAAACTTAAAATATAAAGTATATCTAAATGAGGACATATATAAAACGTGCATTATTTTTTTTCTTAAAAAAAAAAAAAATGTTGTTTTACTACTACTGCTAGTCCAAGTAGATTTTATGTTATATTTTTTAGTATTTATGAAAATAAATGAAAATAAATAAATAAAAAAATATTATATAAAATCGCTGGTAAAAATATTAGCTATTGCACAGTTTTTAATCGTATAATATTAAAATTTCCAGTTTATTACTCGCTGACTTTTTAAAAAGAAAAAATAATTATTTGAAAAACTTTAAATTACATATTTGAGAAAAAAAAAATCAAATATTAGCATATTTTATAATCTTTTTTAAATGTTTAGTTATGTTTTTTATTTGTTTAGTATAGACAAAACGTGTCAAACATTGAGAAAATAAACAAATGTTTTTACATTTAAAAAAATGAAACATTCCAAAACATTTTTAAATAAAAACATTTCTACATTAATGATTTAAAGTAGTTTTGCGGTAATTAAGTAAATTGGTGCAGTTAAATGTCGATAAATATGAAAAGCAAATAAAAAGAATATATATATATAAACCTTATATAAAAAGAATATATATATATATATTCTTTTTATATAAGGTTTAAAAAATAAAAAGAATATATATATATATAAACCTTCCCAGGAGCGAATTGCTTTGTTTGAAAAATATATTAGAAAATTTCAAAATTGTTTTAACAGGCTCCTCAAATTTTTGTTAAAAAAGTTCAGTAATTAGTAATGCACTAGACCACATGCTTTTGGAGCATCATCAATAGCAATAATCTAGCTGGATAATCCAGCAAAAGTGCAGACTATTTCTATGAATTATTGAAAACAACCAAATATTTATAAAGGCTATCAAACACATCACTAATGCTTTTCATGTTAGCATATCAGTAATGCTCTAATGGCTTTATTTATTAAATTTTTTTTTGTAACTTTTGTGTTGAATGAGTTTTCAAATTAGTTAATATAGTTCTGCATATATTAGTTTTTTAAAATTGGTTTAAAAATTATTTTTTTCAAAGTTGTAGTTTTGGTTTCATTTTTAGATTGAATTTGATTTTAATTGAATTTGATACATTTTTCCTCTTTTATTTGTTTAGGTGCTAGGGAAAAAAGACACTTATACTCCAAGTTTTGATATAGAAACAACAGAAAAAGATCAAAGCCGAAGAACATCTACATTGATGCTGGGAGCACTTAGAGAATCATTAATTGATACCGGTAGTAATGAAGACTTATCTAGTGGTTCAGAAACTTCCTCCAAGTCATATAATATTAAGCCGAAAGAAAATATAATTTTTTCAGATGAAGTAGAAGCTTTTTTTGGTTCCGGCAAAAAACCAGATAAGAGCTGTAATGAGGTAATAGTTGTTAATAACTTGATAAATATTGATGACTGTGAAGAATCGCCAAAACTTCCTGAAAAACGCCATCAAAGATTGTCTAATGATGGAAAGAACTTAAACAGCATCTTAATAGATCATCCACAAACATTGAACGACACATTTATTGATATAAAAGAACAGCCATTATTGCATATTGAGCATTCTGTTTTAAAAGAAGACTCAACGAGTACAAAAGGAAATCGTAATAGCTCTGTATCTTTATTTGATGGACCTGGTGGAATTAATGCTATTTTACAAGGAGCAACTGTACAATCTTTACCTAACTCCCTAGGTGTAAGTAGTAATGAGTTAGAAAATTTTTGGCTGCCAATAGTAGACAAAAAATCTGATCCTTGGGGAATTCCTAATCAAAATACAAATAATGAAGAAAATCATTTATTTGAGAATTCATTCACAAGTTTATCAAAATATTCTTCTTTACCAAATAAAGCAAACTATTCTGTTGACAAAAATTATGCTAATTACAGTGAAACTATCCAAAGAGAAGTTAAAAATCTTAAGCAAAACAAAGATGATATTGACTTAAGTCAATCACCTACTGATAATAAATTTCTTCGCAAAAAGTCTCACGGTGGATGGTTAAAGGACAAAATATCAAGTAAAATTAATACCGGGTTAACAGGATTAAAACATATAAAAAAATATGATAATGTTTTGAAAAAAGAAGTTGATTCACAAACCATAAAGTTAGGCACACCTTTAGAAGCTTCAGAAGAGTCTCGAAAAAAAACCCATTCTTTTTCTCGAAATTCAAAGCTAGCCTCTGAAGGTAAAGAAATTCATATTTGTTTAAGATTTTGTTTTAACTCACATTTTTTAGTTTAAGACTGACTGGCTATGTTAATGGTAAGTTGTGATTAAAAAAATTTAAATTTTTTGTTCTTTTCTTGTTATTTGTTTTTATTGTTTAAGTGTTCCGTTTCCACAAAAAATGTAAGTTTGATAATAACTATATAATAAATATATGCAATCAGCATTTTCCAAATACAAATACAAATAAAAACATTTGTAATTTAGGTTAAGAAAAAATATTTGGTTTTTTCAAGACCTGATAAAATGACTAAGTAGAAGAATAAAAACAAGTCTTTTAACAAACATCCCTAAAAACAAATTTTCAACTTATTTTAGTGTTAAAAATGAAATAAAAAACAACAAACCTCTTGTTATTCCCAAAAAAACCTGTTAATAATAATTTATTTTTAAATTTAGGTCTCAGTTAATTGATCAAACTAGTAGTTTATTGAATTTGAAAGCGTCTTAATTAAATAATTTACCGACATCACCTTAGTGTATCACTTAAGCTAATTAATAGTTGAGGTTTAAATTCTATTAACAAATAATTTTTTTATTTTAATTTACTAGTAGACTTTAGAAAATATCAAAGTTTCAAATTTTTGAATTAATAAGTTTTGAAATAATTAAGCTTAGATTATATATCTTTGAAACTTTTCTAAACTCTATGAAGTGTAAAACACTTTTAAATTAAAACAAAAACGCATATTCATTTTATGGTTTTATTTTTTCTTTTATTTTATCATTTTTTAAGATTTTTATTTTTATTGTTTAGTTTTTTCAGTTTTTTTTTCAGTTTTTTTTTTAAAGTCAAGTTTACATATTTTATTTAGAGTATTTTTTAAATGCTCAGATTTTCAAGAGTTGTGGCCAAGTTGTTAAAACAAATTATTAAATGTGTGATCATATAGCGTGTGCAACCGTACTCCTTTCCTGAGATGGCTTGAGCTTCAAAATGCAACAACAAGGCTTTAGAAAACAGTATACTTGTACTTTAAAACATTTTAAATGGCGTGTATGTCTACTTTAATTCAAATCAGCATCTTTTTATTATGTCTAGTAAAGTTATTTTTAAATGTGTTATTTATGTACAGTTTTAAACACAGTATTAAATGTTTTTTTAAAGCTTTCTGGTTGTCCCGCGAGTCTACTGACAAGCATTTTTTTTTCAAAATTTAAGTCACCCTTTAAGAAATGAGTCATCTCATGCCAACGAACAACTATGAAGTTTCACCCCTGTGTTGTATTACCAAGTATGTGGTTAGGTTTGAACTCTATTCTTCTTGCTTAAAATGCAGGCTTTATCGCATCTTTAATGTTAGTATGTCCCCTTAAAAAACTTTGTGTGAAAATAATACTATGCAACACAATATATTTTTTAAAAATTTAATTACTTATGTCTAAAAAATGCGGAAAAACAACTGTATTGAGCACCAACTGATTTTATGACCACAGCACAAATAAAAAGTTCATTTTTGAGACAGAACATGAAAATTTTTTTGTTTTTGTTTTTCAGACTGGTTAGAATTTTTCAATTTTCAGACTGGTAAGAAGCAATGATTGCTTAAAAGCCTCAGAAATAAGTAGATTTTTTTAGATTTGCAAGTGTACTGTAAATCACTTTCACAAAGTAGTCCCTATCATGTTTTCGTTATAGTACTCTTGATAAGAATGTTTGAAGTCCAATAAATTTTTTAAGATTTCTTGCTTTGTTTGTCTAAGTATGCTCTCATGTTCTTAATAAATGTATCGAGATTAGTGTTGATCAACTTTCTGTGGCATTCTGCAAACCAATTTAGAGTAATTAATTACGAGAATTTTAAACCAATTCCACATAACTTTCATACTTGTGATTACCAAGAAACCATAAGCAACAGCAACAAAACTGTTCCAAGCCACTCTCTCTGTACTATTCAGGAGCTTTGTGAACTTGTCTTATTTTATGATCTTAAATCCATAATCTGACAAAAATACTAGATTAAACTATAGCCTGGGACAGCTTTGGAAAAAGATCTTGGAGTTACTTAAAAGGTGCAGGCTCCTTGTCAAAATTAAAGACAAAGGATCGATATGCCTAACTTAATGTGCAGTTGTAGATTTTCTGAAGTTCTCTATATGGCTCCCACTTCATATTCTTCTTGCTTACAGAGAACTGAATTTGTTGTAACCAGTCCTTTCTGTGTCTCAGTGTCATGGCTGTCACAGAGAAAAAAACATTTTGCAAAATTGTCTTGAAGGCCTATGAGGAATGACACCATTTTAAAGTCTAGAATGACCTCCCAACTGTAGTCTTCATTTTTCAAGACACTTAGCAACATCTTGACACATCCTTTTTAATTTTTGTATTTAAATATTTTTTATGAATGCAATTTTAAATGTTTTGTATGAATGCAAATATTGTCTAAAATATTTAGTATAACCTTTCTTGTTTTATTTAACATTTTATTTAACACACACAATTTTTAGAACAAAAGTTAAACACCTAAAGAATTTCTAGTTTAAAAAATCAATTTTTTATTTCAAATAAAACTTGGTAAATATTATTATTTTGTAATTAAATTAAGGATCGTCCATAATTTATGTAATGCAAGTTTTAGAAACAAAACAAAAAAGATCAAAAGTTTTCCTTTGCAGAGTCTTAATTTAAATAAAAAATCAAAATAGCCCATTAAGTTTAATGAATCAAAATAGTCCATTAAGTTTAATGAACAGAGGATCCCTTATTTATATATCTAGATTATCTATTGTTCAGTTACATAAATTATAAAAATGTTTTTCAACTTAAAATATTGTTTTAGCAATTAACTGTTGTGCAATAAAAATTATCCATTGATTTTTATACATTTTCTCAAACATTCCTTCGACCTTCATTTTAAATCTACCACTGTTACATTTTCAAGTGGAAATATTAATGCTGATAAAAATCAACTGTTTTATGCAAGGTAACTCTAATTAGTTTACTCTAAGTTACATGCCATTGAAAAACATAGCGATTATATATTTGTGGGTCCAAGTACGATAAACCGAAGCTCATTCTGGCTAGACTTGTCATTCAGCTAAATTTTCACTATTTATTTTATCTGTCCCCGCATGCTATAAAAAGTTTTATTCGTCTAGTTTTTTTTCCTTGCACTTTATCCCTTTAAAACTCTTTCCCATCTTCACGCTTTTCTGGCTCATACAACCTACTACTTTTTAAGTCTTCTGTCAATTGTTTCTTTGCTCTTTAATTCTGTTGCTTGTTTTCTAGTAACTTCCAACTTAATAGTGATTGCTTGCAGTCTTGTTGGTAGTGAATAAGATTTTTTTTTTTTTTTTTAATGCATAAAAAAAAAATAACAAGCAGTTATAAATTGGTTTAATAGATTTATAAAACATCACAAAAAACTTTTAATTTGAAACCTGATAATACAAGCTTAATAAGTCTTAATCTTGCCTAATAAGTTTTAATCTGCATAATTTAATCAGTTTTTTTACAGCCTTTTTTTTTTTTTTAAACATCTTTGCTTCCAATAAGGCTGCAAGCAACCACTAGTTAGTGTTGGAAGTTACTAGAAGAGAAAAGATGAATATTGTAGAGCAAGATAACAATTGAAAGACGACTTAAAAGATTGCAAATTATATGAATCAGGAAAGCAAGATGAAGGAAGCGAATTCCAAAGAACTGATGTTCGAAGAAAAAAAAATAGACAAATAAGAGTTTTTAGAGCATTTAGGAACAGTAAAAATGGTTGAAGGTTATTTGCAAGAGCAGTTCCAACTATATTTACAATGCATTTTTGCACCTTGTCTAAAAGAGAAAGGGCATCATTAGAAGATCCGCTTAGAAAGATTAGAAAGATCAGAAGTAAGTGTTAATCCTAGAAGGTGACTTATCAAGTACATTACCGTTCATAATTATAGGTCTAAATTATTGCGATAACGATTGGCTGAAAAAAATTGAGTTTTATCTGAATTAAAGTTCACCAGCCACTGTGAGCCCCATGCTGTAGCAGAAGTGAGATCCTTTTCAAGCTTAAATGCCCCCTCCAAGCAATCAGAGGGAGTTAACTTTTTATCATGACAAGAATAAATAGTAGTATCATCAGTGAACAATGCCACCTTAGATAAGAATATCTGGAAGATCGTTAATGTAAATTAAAAAGAGTATAGGGCCAAGAATTGAACCTTGAGGAACCCCTGAGGTTACAGAATAAGAGTGCTGTCCATCAAGGACAACTTTTATACTACAATTGAAAAAGAAGTATTCAATAATCTTAAAGATGTCTCCAGATACGCCGTAAGAAGAAAGCTTATGGAGAAGACCAGCATGCTAAACTTTATCAAATGCTTTAGAAATGTCAAGAGCGATGGACCTCTCCACCTTTATCTAATGCACAATAAAACCTATCAGTTATTACTGTTAGCAAATCAGCTGTAGAACGAGAAGATCGAAATCCATATTGATGATCAGAAAGTTATTAGATTCAAGATGAGAGATTAAGTGTTTGTTAATTAAAGATTCAAAAACCTTGCTTATTATAGGAAGAAGACTAATGGACTGTAGTTAGACGAATCAGATCGTTCTCCAGAATTTTTAAAAATAGGGATAACAGATGCTGCTTTCCAGCAGGCTGGAAAACAAGACTCTGATAAGCACTTGTTGAATAGTTTTGAAAGGAAAGACGAGAGCTCCGAAAAAAAAACTTCTGCAAGATTATAACAGGTATGTTGTCTGGGCCACAAGCTGCAGAAAAGTCTAAGCAGGAAATCATTTTAGATACGGAATCTGGAGTGATACGAATGTCAAGCAATGGATTAACCTGTTTGACGGCTATATCAGGTAGAACGCAACTAGTGGAATCAAGAGATGATATTGATGAAAAGTTCTTAGCAAACAACTCAATTGGTGAGATGACTGAGAAGTCTGAACCATACAAAAGAGGTGGAATTATAGATTTACCCATATTATTGATATTATTAAAGATTCTCCAGAAGTCACAAGAGCATAAGTTTTGTGATGAAATATGAGATTTTATGACCTTAGAATAGGGAGCTTTGGCATTAGTCAAAACCTTTTTTACAATGGTTCTTAGCAGTAATAAACAGACATCTTTTTTCTGAGAATTGTTTTGCTGATAGATATGGAAGTAATGGTATTGATTGGCAATAGCAGCAGCACAATGTAAGGAAAACCATGGAAAAGAGTGAAGCTTGACCTAGAATTGTTGAGATGGAATAAAGGATTCGATGCCAGCCTGAATCCACAAAGTTATGTAAGAAGCACATTTGTCAACAGGAAGACAAAAGATTTCTACCCAAGGGCCATCACAAAGAAAATCATGGAAAGATGTATTATGATAGAGGGATTCTGATGATAAAGAAGAATGAGATAATATTTTTAGAGAGATCAAACTGTGATCAGAGGCACCTAAGGGTGAATATGGAGAAACTGAGCAATGACTAGGATCAGAAACAAGGCATAAGTCGAGTAGAGAAGGTAAATGATTCAGTTTGTCTGGCAAGCGAGTTGGAAAGTTGACTATTTGAGATAGGGATTGACAAAGGCAAAAGTTGTGGGTTTTAATGTCTGCAGAGTCACTGACACTAGAGCCAAGCCTTTCAGTGTGATGGACATTAAAGTCACTGACAACAACAATATTGGCTGATGGGTAAAGAGAGAGGGCTTGATCAATATGATCAGAAAAAAAATTTATTCCATTGTTTAATTATTATAAATAGAAATTTAAAATTAAAAAAAAATGATGCTTTATGTTAAAAAATCTTAAATATTAGTTGTTTCTATTTTTTGATGATTCAGAACTGTCTCAGGTGTATTTAAAGCTACCCCAGGTTGGAGCAGCAGGTTGCAGCAGCTTTGAACATTTTTATGCACATTGTAGAAATAGGAATACTGATTTTATTTTCAGTTAAAATTTATACTATTTTTAATATTTTTAAATAATTAAAAAAAATTTTAATTTAATTTTTTAATCATTTAAATCTTTTTTTAGTGAAAAAAATTAAAATTTTTTCCTAGTGAAAAAATTTTTTTTGTTTTTATTGCTCAGTCAAACACAGCAAATTACCTGCATCAGTCTAGTTCAAACACCGCAAATTACCTGCATCAAATATATATATAAAAAAATAATAATTTTAATGTTTAAAGGTGCTCCAATCTTTCTTAGGATTTGAGAAAGTATCAACAAAATTAAAGTGTTTTTTATAAGTGCATAGAAATAGAAGGTGTATATAGCAGGGTTAATTTTTGCAGGTCACATTATTTTTTAGTGTGTTATTCTTTAGATGCTGGTGAAGCTATTCTTGCAAAATACAGATCAATGGCATCCTTACCAGTGTCACATGATGCTGATTCCAATTTTAGCTCTTCCCCAATGTCAAGTCATATGGAAGGAGCAATTGATGTATACAGAGAAGAGCTGGCTGTTTTTGATAATGAGTTTAAATTTTCAGATGCTAAAAAAAAATTGCGTATGGTTTTGTGTACAACAGATCAAATTACACTGCCTAGGTTGGTTGCTAGGTTAAATATTGCCTTGATCATTCAAAGTTTTTTTTCTTCCTTCTAAAGTTTATTTTATAGGTTTGCTTTTTTTTCTTGATTATTTTCTTTAGAAATGAGAGAAATTATATAAATCCTTCATTTACAGTAAGGCCACAAGCTTTGATCAGTTGTTGTTGACAATGCTGCAGGCAAAACTAGCTGAGGCAATCAACCTTCAAGATAGATTTTCTGTAGCACAATTGCATGAAACACTTCGCAGCATTAAGCAACTACCCCAAGGAAGGTTATCTAATGCTTACATAGTGTTGAATATATTTCAAAATTGTATTATATTTTATTTTATATTATTATATATTGCATTTTTATATTTTATTTTAAAACAAGAAATAAATAGCAATATAAACTGATATTTCAGTTGTGACCAGTTAGTTACACAATTGGAAGCTGAATACGAGGAACGAGCAAAATATATTTCATATTTGATCAAAAGTAAACAAGGTTTACTATCAACTATATCTTACTTAGAACAATTAACTACTAAGTTGCAAAGGTACATTATAATTTTACATAGAGCGTATTTTCTTACATTTTAATTTTTAGAATATATTCTATTTTTATATAATATGTATTTTTTAAATAATATGTATTTTTCTTTCATTTTAACTTTAATATTTGTTTTGAATAAAGAAATCTAGAAAGTTTTAAAATTGTCTATATAAAATGTTTGCAGTTAAGCTCTCACTTCCTGCTGAGATTTTATCTTGGCGATAACCTCTTGCCCAAACTTCCCTAAAATGGTTTTTTTAAATTTAGTATTAAATGTTTTAAAAAATATTTAATATAATAATAATTATATAAATAAATTAAGATATGTAAAATATTAAAGTATAAATTAAAATAATTTTTAAAAAAATTGTTTCTTAAATTTCTGCTTTAAAAAATCAAAAATAAATAAATAAATATTGTGATGAAAATAAGCTATTTTTTTAAATAAAAAATAAATTTATAAATAGCGCTTATGTGTAGTTTTAGGATATTTTTTTAGGGATAAAACGATCTGCAGCAAGTATTTTACAACTTTAGCTGTACGATTGTTCTTAGAAACGCCTGTCAGAAAACATCAAATTGCTGCGTTTTCCCAAAAGTTTGCATCTAATAAAATGCTTGATGAAAAGGTTTTGTTCTATTTTTATTTTAGTTTTTTTGTTTTTTTGTTTTATTGTATTTATATTATACCAAATTGTGTTTATTTTTTAATTTTTACTTTGACAATTTACTATGTAAAAACTGGTCTACATTGTTCAACTTCGATTTTCTTCACTTTTTGGAATGTTTTTTTGTTTTTATTTGCTATAGTTTTAATTGGGTTTTCTTTGAAAATAATCTGCTCTCACCCCCTAAATGTGTTCTAATACAAAAACACTAGGTTTAAATTTTTTTTGAATAAAAAATATTTTAAGGGGTCCCTCAAGACCTTCGAATATTTAATGGGTCCCTAATATATTTGAAAAAAAAGTTTTTCAAAAATATGTCAACTTGGTACTCAAATGAAGCGAAATTATATGAATATTTTAAAAATAATATTCATTTCCAAAAATTTTTAACTTATTTATCAAAATTATCATAAAAAAACATTAGAAATGCATTTTTTTCATTTTTTCTTAAATAACTTAATTTTTTATGTAATAAAACCGAAAATAACAATTTCGTTTTGAAATGAATATTATTTTTAAAATTTTTATATAATTTCACTTCATTTGAGTACCAGGTTGACATATTTTTGAAAAACTTTTTTTTCGAAAATATTAGGGACCCATTAAATATTCGAGGGCCTTGAAGGACCCCTTAAAATATTTTTTATTCAAAAAAAATTTAAACCTAGTGTTTTTGCATTAGATAGAACACATTTAGGGGGTAAGAGTAGATTATTTTCAAAAATGTTGTTTTTTGGGACACCCTAGTGTATATTTGTGTGAGATATAAATGTTCAAAGCTTAAGTGACCAAACTTAGGCAATTTTACGATATAGTATTCTATTAAAGTTTCATTATTAATTCTATGGTCACTGCAAAAAATTTCAGACAGTTTTAATTGACCTAAAACATCTATTGTGTATGATGTATGGTTAAACTCATATCATCATGTCATACATAGATGTCATATGTTAAAGTATCTAAATGGTGTTGACTTACGTTGGATAGCAGATGATATCCAACCAGTTGGTACCAGATTTATGTTGGATACCAGATGGGTATTAATAGGCTCAATAGATAGTTTGAAATATTAAAATCAGAGTGGTCTTTTAAACCACAATATTTGTTTCAAAAGTTGAAAAAACAAGACTTCAGTGTAATGTTTTCACTTAGGCTAGTCAAATATGTTCATTTGAAGTGATCAACTTTCAAGTATAAAAAAACATAGAATAATACTTTCAAGTATATAAAGTATAGAGTCAATTATTTCATTGTTCAACTAAGTTTACTTGTTTAAAAAAATTTTGTTATGACATAAAAAATATTAAAAGACAAAAACATTCATGAAAGTAACCTAAAAGTCAAGCCTTGATCAGAAATTCTGAAATTTTTTAATAGTCTTTAGATGGGTTGTAAAAATATATATTTACCAATTTTAAATTATTTTAACTCTAATGGTGTTATTTTTTTTAACTCTAATGGTGTTTTTTTTTTTTTTTTTGTTCAATTATTAAGCAATCATTTCTTTTCGTATCATATATTTCTTATTATATAAAATGGACTATATTTTTTACATATGTAATATATGTGTAAGAATATAAGTATAGAAATTATATGAACATAAACTGAAACTCAACTTTATAAACTGGCTCCCTAAAAATCAACTCTGACTTTTTATAAAATTCTGTTGTTTTTTTTATCAGTTTTTTTAAGTGCTACCCCCCACCTATGGTGATTTAAATCTGCAACAGTATATACATATATGAATTTTATTTGTGTATGTATGTATAATCATATTTTATTTGTGTATGTATGTATGTATGTATGTATGTATGTATGTATGTATGTATGTATGTATGTATGTATGTATGTATACATGTGTAAAGTTATTTTTTTTAAGAATCTTTTTTTTTAATAAGTTAAATTAAAAATTTAATTGTTAAAAACTAAAATCATTAAAGGAAATTATAAAATAGATTTTAAATTTTGTGAAATAAAAAATAGTGAATATCCATCATAATGATATAAATCTTTTTGTTAAAAAAAAATTGCAGTTAATTAACTTTTAAAACTAAAAAAAATAATAAATGAATAAAATCGCAGGTTTTAATTAAAGGTCATTAAAAATCTTCAAAGGTATTAATTTTTTATTACTTTAAAAGTAATTTTTTTTTTCTTACCATTTTCACTCTATCTCTATCTAATTTTTTTTTAACCTTAGTCTGCTCTTTTAAATGAATTACTTGAAGAATTAAATTCCGATATTCTAAAAGATTCCACATGGAAGTGTAAGTTGTTTTTTTATTCAATGTGTTTTTATATTAAATAATTATAAATATGAGTAAGTTTTTTTAAAAGAAATTTTTTAAATCCAGATTGTACTGATGAGCAGTTATCTGATGCAGAAAAGGCTATTGAAAGAGCAATTATAAGTCGAATTTACAAAGATGCTTTTTATCCTTTTAGTGCTGCTGACATTGAAAATGACAAGTATATATACTTTAGTGGTATAAGTAATTTTTTAGATAAACTTTAATAGGTAAACTCTAGTACTCTTGAACTAAATTTTTTAAATTAAAAAAAACTAATGCTAAATTTTTTATCTGTAAAATAATTTATTATTTATTTATTATTTATATTATTTATTAGTAAATAAATTTATTATATCGTCTGTTAGAAGTTGTACTGCTTAAATTTTCACTCATTGTTGGAATTATTTTTTAACCCATCACTTATCACAGCCACCATTATGGCACTTCAAACCTTTATCCAACCATCTTCCACTTGATTTATAATTGTAATAAGATACATGATTTGTTTTATTTGATAAAAATTTATTTTTACTTTCTTTTTAAAAGTATTAAAAACTAGTCTTGATATAATATAAAAATGAATTGCCTTCCTATAAGATATTATAAGTTATATAAACTTTTAACATAAAATGCCTAATTTTTAAACTGTTTACAAATCTTTGAATTTGAATTTAGAAATCATAATGTGAATGTATATTTTATTTAATAAAGTTTTTAAGTATATTATTTAATTTTCAATTACACAGACTATAGTTGTAACCTTTTTTAATCTATGTTTACTTTATTAGAATATTTCATGAGAATATTAAAGGCTTAGCAAACATTGTTACTTTATCACATCCTACTTTGCAAATTCCCAAGGTATTATTTGTTTTGTTTGACATTATTTACATTTTAATTTAAATAGAAAGAAAAGTTACTATATTGATGAAATTGTATATAATTAGAAAATAAAAATTAGTTAATGATAATTAAAAAACAATGTGTCATAAACTTAAAAAACAATAATGTGGCTTATAAAAGATTTAATAATATGTAAGAAATCGATGTGGTAAGTCTATATACATCAAATTGTATGGCTTTTAGCTGTATGATTCTTGAGCATTTTGTTCCAATTATAGGTTGCTATTTTAATCCTTATCACATTATAATTAGCCTACCTCAAAGATAAGTTGTTAAAGATATCCTCAAGTGCCAAGACAAGTTGTATTCTTATCTGAAAATACCTTAAAGAGTTTCATGTTTATACACTTAATCATTTTTAACAACATTTTTTTCACTCAAAAGTAAGTTCTGATTTAAAAAAATAATAATACTGGTCTGGTTAATGTGTTTTTGTAGTTAATAAATGATGTCAAAACAGAATAGTTCTATAAAATAACATAAAATCCAATTATAAACATTATTCTATATATTTAGATTTTCTCTTTTGCAATTACTTTGCAAACCAAATAAGTAAAACTCAATACAAAATATATGATTTTTCTAATTTATAATATTATAAAATCTCAATACAAAATATATGATTCTTCTAATTTATAATATTATAAAATCTAATTTAATAAATTTTACTTTAATAATTTCAATTTATTCACATACTTTATTAAACTTATTCAAATTAAAAATTATTTAAAGATATAAAACATTTATTGATGAATAATGAGATATTTGAAAAAGGAAATATTTATAGGGTAAGAAAAATCAAACCAACATTGCACTTTATTTTTTTAAACTAAACTTGATATTAGTAATATTGTGGGGTTTTTTTATTTATATTTAAAGTGGGCTATTATTCTTACTGATTTTTTATGATATTCATCATAAGTCTTGGTTCTAATTTATATAAAGTTAAGAAAAAATGTATTTATATCTAAACAAAAAACCTAAAATATCTAAACTTAAAATATCTTAAAATTAATTATCTAAACTTAAAATATCTTAAAATTAATTATCTAAACTTAAAATATCTTAAAATTAATTATCTAAACTTAAAATATCTTAGCTTGAAAATTTATAGCTGTAAAAATAAAACAATAATTATCCTCAACACTCAAAAATGGAAATGAAGTCTTAATTTTGTGATAGTGTTGCAGTAGTATAGTGTATAAAGTATAGTGGTGGAGTGCTAACTTTGAAGTAAAAAGATCTAAGTTCGATTCCCACTATATACTTTGGCAATACCCACTCAACTTGTTTCTCCACGCAACACCCTTGTTTGCCAAGGTTCATTTCTATTACAAAAAATAAATATAAAATAGATAAAGAGAAATAAACTAGATGGACTTGGAGTGATGAAACGGTAGAAGTTTTATTGGAAAACTTAGTAAATTATAAAACTGATATTGATTATAAAGGTTTAGACTTTGAAAAAGATTTGCCTGCATGTATAGTTCTGTTCAAGAAATGATGGGACAGATGTATCCACCAGAGGATTTTGGGCCTTTCAAAATACAACCAATAGAAAGTAATTATCTTTTAACAGAAGAGCTTTTGGTCTTTAAACGAATATAAGGATAATTTGAATTAGAAAAACAAAAAAAGGAAGGTTACAATAGAATTAAATCAAAAATAAGTTAAGATCTAGTTACAAAACGGCCATTGATAAAGGAACACAATCTGGAAGTGGTCCTTTGGTTCAAGAACACTTTAAAAAGTTAAGAGAAATATGGAGTGGTTCGCCTTTTTATAGGAGCTATACCCCATGGTCATTCCAGTTTAAATCTTACGAGTGAATTAAAAATAGACCATTGGTTGGTTGGTTATCAAAGATACAAAGCAAGATAAAATGAAAAAAAAAACTGTCTGCATACCAACGGGACATTATGCAATTGGATCTAGCTAGAGATGAAATAACATTAAAACGCAGTATAATACAAGCTAGGAAACAATCTTCAAAACAAACTCAAAATGCTATTGAAGCAATGGCTAATTCAGTAAACTCCATTGGTGACAATATAAAAGAGGGTCTTTTCTACCTTAGCTAATTTTTTTATGCATAAACAACAAATGCAGTGACCAAACTACAATATGGTTCATGGAAATTTGCCAACAATTTCAAATATTTTTTCACCAAAACCACTGTAACACTGTTTTCAATGTCAGTAATCTTATTGATAATAACTTTATCTTGACTTGGTTTTGTTTAATTAATGAAAAATGTAGAACTAACTAAAAGTTGGGATCTGTTGTTTTTAATGTTATGAAATTTATTTTCAAAATAAACAATGCGTATGCAAGCAGTGGTTTTACTACATAAGTACTTTGTGGATGTCCCCTAATCAAATTGAAGTTTTTTAAAGTAAACTAAATTGATGCAAATGCATAAATGATTCTCTTAATACTGTCATAATACATAAACAAATATTCTGAAATGAATAATACTGAAAAGTTACTAAGACTTCATTAAGCTCAAAATTGTAGAAAAAAAAATGTGCTTGGAGAAACTTGTAATTTACATATACGACAGTAAATATTTTATCATTTTTATAAAAAATATTATTTTTTTGTCATTCCATATCGATAACAACAAAAAAATATGACAAAACAAAATTTGTGTAGCAATGTAGCGCTACCAGTTTTTGAATTTGAAATAGTAGCAAAGCAACGGTAGCGGTTTGTAGTTCCAATAAAGTGGAAGGTAGCAGTAGTGCTTTCATATATTTGGTAGCAATGTCCTGAGTAGGGAACATAAAGTGCATTATGCAAATAAGCGAGAGGGGTGTAGATAGAAGAAGGAAGAGGGGTTGTTGGAAAAGGGCATCACTTTATAGATTTCTTATTTCAATTTTAATAATATGGAAAATATGTAAACATGTGTGTTTATAAAGTTATTGTTAAATAATAGTTTTTATAATTTTTTTTGATTAAAATAGGGGGGGAGGGTTCAGATTTTGTACCATTTATTTTAAGGAGTGGAAGTATAGATAAAAAGAGCGACTGATTAAGTGCAAATTTCATAATTGCGAATCTATATAGGCGCGAATTGGAATCAGTGCGCCTAACATTTAAAATTTTTTATTATAAATTAATTGAAAAAAACAATTGCATTGCCTTCTCAAAACCTGATAAGTAGATAACCCAAATAATCCTGATAATATTTTATAATCCAAATAATCAGATAAACCCAATAACCAAAACCCAATAGTAGATGTATGTATAGTTTGCTGCAAGAGTTCATAGATTAAAGTCATTGAACATTTGCAAATATATGTACCTGATATTTTAACAAAATTTTATTGTTCGCACTTGTGTCAATGTTTGCCAATTCTTATGGCGTACTTATGGCAGTTTTTGCAACTGCTTTGCACACATTCCAGTTTGCACTTATGAAATTCGCGTCACTGCAAAAAAAAAAAGCAACAATAAAGAGGGAGGAGAAGATCAAAATTTGCCAAAAAAATGCCGACGACCCACAGACCTGTATATATTTCATTAATTTTTTAAACAGATAAGTTGTAACTATTTTAAATGCCAAATTTATAATGAAAAAAAAAAGATGCATATTGTGGGGTGTCACAAAAATAATATAACGCCCTCATTACACTACTTTCGAGAGCAACATGTTAAAAGTAGATAAAATCGAAACAAGAAACAAAAAAAAAGTATCACAAAAATATTATCACTACAAAAGTACTGCTAATATGAAAAAAATAACAATAGAAATGTGTCACAAAAAATAATAAAAAATTTATTACCTTTGTGTTGATTTTAATTTTTCCCATTACTGTTAGCTAATGATTAACTAGTAATTTTCAAATCATGAAATTTGACTAATTTAAAACCATATTTTAATAGTAAGTCAAAACACATGACATTGGTACAACTAAAAAAAAATTAAATAAAAAGCTGACCAAAAATTAAAATTTTTTAATCTTTGAATCACAAAATTTTAACATATAGAAATAACAAAAAAAAATTTTTTAAATTATATTATGTATAACTACTATACACATACATAAGAAGAATATTAAATAAAGACCTCAATCATAATTAAACCAAAGTTCAGAAGTATTTAAACATTTATTTCAAATATTTGTCACTTAAATATTGAGCAACTGCTTCTCTTGTTTGCATCCAACGTGATGAATTGTAGGTAAAAAGTTTATCAAGTTTGTTGTGATTGTCACAGCATTGTGACCTTTTTTCTGCAACTACTTCTGCTTGTATTATTTCACTATGAATGTCAACCTCATTATCTTCATAAAAATTATGCAATACAAAACATGTTTAAACTAGGGATGTAGTAAGTTCTAAATCAACGATGCAGCGATTAAGAGCTCTCCAACAAGCTTTTAATCTTCCAAAAGCGCATTCAATTAGGTTACGAGCTGAACGCAACATGTTGTTGAAAGCGCATGCTTATCACTTTCAGAAGGTAGATACTCTTTAAGATGGTTTGGTAACAGAGGATATGCAGGATCCTCTAACAAAAATGGCAAAACAGGAGAATACCCAGGAACAAACTCTTGATACTTTAATGGAAAACATCTATTAACAAACATTTTGTTTAAATTACTGTTATCATATATTCTAGCATCATGGACACTTCCTGGCCATCTGAATTCCACATCTGTGAATCTTCCCTTTTCGTCACAAACTGCTTGATAATTTAATATTTTATTTTGTAACAAAAATAATCATGGCAGTCTTCTTGCGGTTGTTGAATTGGGATGTGAGTATTGTCAATGCAACCTAAAACTAGTGGAATACCAAATTTTGATTCAAATTTGTAAGTTATAAAATTAATTTCCTCATTTGTGTTTGGGAATTTTATCAACTTTGTTCCTAGTTCTAAGTTTATGGCATAACACACAAGGCGTAGTGACACAGACAAAGTAGCTTTTGAAACACCAAGCGTCTTTGCTACCATTCTAAATGAGAATGCTACCATTCTAAATGCCTTCATCTTTTAGATAGTACAAAACCATTGCAACACAGGACAAATAGTATTTTTTCTTACAAATCTTGGACTTAGGGAGATATGATGCCTTATAGAGTCTACCAGTTTCATAAATAAATTATAATCCATTCTTAAGTTAAGAACCCATTTTTCAGGAAGTAAATAACCAGGTTTCTCCACCAAGTATCACTACGACCAGGGTTTTTCCAGTTTTTTCAAAAATAAAAATAAAAAATAATTTAATAAAAAAACTTGTAATAATATTTTCTATATAGTTTACAATAATTATACATTAATTTTTATTCATTAGCATATCAAAAATTGTTTTTTTAAAAGGTAATATTCACATTAGTATAAAAAAATTTAAATTCAGTAAAAGCAGTAACAATTAGATTTATTATGATTGTGTACGACTATAATACTTTTTTTTATTTATAACAGTTTATATTGAAACCACATCTGTTTTTAATATAAACTATTGTGAGCTGAGGAAAAAATATCCTCTTACATACAAAAACATTTACCATTAGTTAGTTTTTAGTGCACAGCCCAAGTTTCTATTTTTAAGCATTGCATTATATAATTAGATTACAATTTTAAACAATTATAACAGGTATATATAAATATGCTATGCTTTTTATTTGTAATGTTTTAATAAAAATCTATATACCCTTTAGCAAAATGGTGGAACTCTTTGCTTTTTGTGCTCTTCACAAAGCTTAAAAGCAAAATATACATGTTCACATATTAGACGAATATATGCTTACATATTAGGCAAATATATGCTTACATATTAGGCAAATATATGCTTACATATTAAACAAATATATAATAACATATTAGACAAAAATATGCTTACATATTAGATAAATAAATGCTAACATATTAGACAAATATATGCTTACATATTAGGCAAATATATGCTTACATATTAGAAAAATGCTTTTAAAAATTTATTTTCATTAACTAAATAGCAACACAAATTTTTTTCTTTAGCAAATAATTTACATAAAAAAGATTAGCAAAATTACTTAAAACAATGTGTTAAAAGCATAGCTTTCAAAGATATTAAAACTTTCTTATTAAAGCAATAGAAAAAGATAAGTAAAGATAAAATATAAAAAATAACTGTAGTTATTCTAAATAAATATATAGAACAACTACAGTTCAAAGTATAAAACAAGCAACAGCCTAAAAAGTAAAATAGCTTAATAAAGAGACATATAGAAAGCTCAGCGTCAAAACACACACACAAGTAAGCAACAACAGCAGCATTAAGCTGTAAGATATAAATTAGAATGATTTTTAAATATCTTTTGAATCACAAAAAAGCTCTCACATAAAATAGAAATAAGTTTTTAATTGTTTTAACAGAAAAAGTTAGCAAAAAAAGACTACATATTATTGGTATATAATAGCAGTTTTTAGGCCAGGGCCTGGAAAATAATTATAATAAATAATCATTTCAGGGCTGAGAAAATAATCATAAACATTTTCATAGAGGTATCAAAACCTATATCAACTGATATAGTTTACTGCATGCTCAAACTATATCAATTGATATAGTTTGAGCATGCAGTATGTATTTTTTTATAATACAATATATAATCACAAAAAATGTATAATTATAACATAAATGTAATCACAAAAAAAGTATTTTTTAAATTCTTCTGAGATATCATTGTATACTTTGTACACTTTATTTATTTATATAGATTTAAATAAAAAAAGAAAAAAAAGAAAAGAAATAAAAAAAGTTAGATGAATTATTACTGATGATGTTTTATTTATATTAAAATAAAGATAAAAAAAGTGAGTGGCTTCAATACATAAATTGACTGGTTGTTTGGGTTTGAATGAGGGATATTATAAACGTATGAAGGACATTTGTTATGACAAAAATTTTTTTGCTTTTTTCATTATTTTATTATTATTTTTTCCAGTATAAGGAAAAAAGTTAACTTTTTTAAAATTAAAGTGAGTGTAGTATATTATTACGAGCCAATTAGTAATAATTGTTTCACTAGCAACCCAAATTACCCATTGTAATTATAGTTATTTCAACTATTTATAGTAATACCACATGTAATTAAAAAAAAAACTTCAATAAAATTTTTGAATAAAATTAAACATTATAAAAAATCTTGTTTGAACTATAAATTTTAAATAAATGTTTTAATTTTATTCTAATCAATATATTTTAATATCATTTAGATGTATCAAAAAGAAGCACCTTGGCCATCAGCTCAAACAGAACTTCTAATGATTAATGCTTATAAGGTAAATAGTTTTTATGTCATTTTATTTTTATTTTATGCCATTTAATTTACATGATGTTTCACTTTAGTTACACTTACTTGACAAATAAAATATTGAACTATATGATGATTAAATTTTCTTGCCTTATCACAATCTCTCTATACATAAGTTTCTTTTTCTTTTTTTCTTCTTCTTTTTTCTTTGACATTACTGATTTTTTCTTTTGCAATTTTAAGTCAATTGCTCAGGCTGCAAAATTCAGCATTTGATTTAAAGAATAACGTTGGTTGGTGTAATACTCTTATATGTATATTATAGATTGATGTGTTACTAGAACATTAAATATATTGCAGACTTTGTTTTAAATACAAAATGCTTAATGCATTAGCTTAAGGCAATGTTTGACGTCTTAAAATTCTTATATATTTTTTTTATAAATGTTAAGCGTTTAACTAATGCAATAAACTCATCAATTTTAAATTTTTTTATTGTACTTACAATATCTTCCATAAAAACAAAATAGACATTGAAATTAGTCTCATTTTTAACAGCTTCCTAAAAAGTTATGGCATAGGTTATAATGAATTTTAGTAAAAATCTATATATCCTTTAGCAAAACGGTGAAAAAGTATATGATGACTAACATGTAAGCACTTTTTGGAGCACTTATTTACCAGTACTTTCCCATGTAAAGCAGCAAAAAAGAATTTTGGTACTAAAATACAGCAGTAAACACAGTAACTTGCTTCTTGTGCCAATGTGTTAACTAGACTTCATCTTGTCACAAAATTGAAAAATTTTCAACAAAATCCACTTGAACAGCCTACTTTAAAGTTGGATCTTATGATCACGATATGTCTTTGATTGTTTCTGTTTAATAAAATAATGCCAAAGAAATGAAGGTAAAGATTTTAAAAAGGTGCTGTAAAGATCATCAACTCTTCCCTTTTTTAAAATTTTTTTAATACATTTTTTTCTATTACCTTTTGCAACTTTTTCCCACTGGTATCACGTAATGCATTTATTCTTGTCAATTTCATTCAAAATATAAAGATTATGAAACTTTGCAGCATCTTTGCATGTTGTACACATATTATTATAACAAATCTCTTTTCACTGTTACATACAATGCTAAGAGGAAATTCATGTGAATACAATGAAAAATTTGAATCAAACTTGTGCAGGACTTCAAGGATAAGGATTATATTTTGATGTTGTTGACAACAACAAACCTTTCTTGACATTTAACTAAACAAAAGCACATGTGGTGGGCGTAAACTAGCAAACTTTGATTTTCCAACTGATTCTTTAGGATAATCACCTTTAAAAGCAGCATAAGCTTTATTAACATTCATATAAAAATGATGTTTTTGCACAGTTTCTTTCTTGTTTTTTAATCTTACCACAATGGTGCCTCTTTTACCGGGTATTTGACGGGATATATCATCACGCTGGTAAAAATCAAGAACCAATTTTACAGTTATAGCATCTAATGCATTTTCACTAAGTATTTTTTCTGGGCTAGGGGTTTCATTCATTTTTATTAAAAGTTTTTGTACAACTTTAGCCCTTTTTTTGGGTAATTTTGGTAGTGCTGACTCAGCTCTCTTAACAATAAGTGTTTGCAGATTTATAAGGGGGTGATGCAAGCTACAGATTTTGGTTCTGCTATTTTTTGTCTGCTCTTTCTCTTTTGTTGTCTTTTTTTTTCTCGTTGAGCCTCCAATTTAGCAAGTCATCTTTTATCTTTTTTGATTCTTTTTCTCTAACTACTTTTTCACCAAATTTTCTAACTGCCTTTCACAATATTTCTTTTGGCATTCAGCATGAGTAAGAGGCATGTTAAACTTTTGAAAGATTAATAAAAAGCAACAGTAGTTATGGAGATGCACATATTACATCTAAGGCTCAATGGAGTTACAACTATCCCTTAGAGAGGCTCTATGTATCCTATCTATGTATATATCAAGGATAGCTGAGCATTTATCTTCCAAATGTTGGCTATGCAAAACATGCCTATATTTCATAGTCTTTGTAGAAAATGTCAAAGAAAATAGGCCCTACAATAATAAAATTGAGTTTTTATCAACTTTAATGGGTCATTAAAGTTGATAAAAACTCAATTGTGGTTTCAATTTACAGTTTTAAATTTTGTTTTAAATTTTCTTAAAAAATTGTCACCCTTCGATGTCATGGTGTGACATAAAAAGATTCTAAAAATAACTTGATCTAATTATTTTTTTAAACATGTTATAAACATGTTAGTGTTTTTTTAGATTTACTAGAATTCTAAGTTTTATTGGTTGTCTTAGAAATAAACTATTGATCACCTAACTGTCACAGCGTGATAATAGTGGTAATAACATTTGATTAAAATAAATGGTTTTCTGAATTCGTCTAGCAATAAGTATTTCTTTATCATAATTACCAATGATTAGTGCAGCTAAAAACCTGATTGCAATGAGCAAGACAATTTTTGAATTTTTTATAGGTTCAATTGAACTTTGGCAATTAAAAATGAATTAAGTTATTGGAAAAAGGCCTATTTTTACCTTCTCTTTCAGTCCATATTATTTTTTATGATAGTGGCATACTATAAGATGCTATTTATTTACTGAAAGAGGAAAAGTAGAGCTTTCTACTGATATATAGTATTATGTATATTGGCTTGGTTAATTTTTTTATTTTTTGTAAGACAATTGTGGAATTACTGTTCAACTCTATATCTTTGCTCACTAATACAATTTCTGATTGTTTGTGGAGTCACTGTGATATTATGATTTTCTTTAGTTTTTAAAGCTTATTTAATTGCCTAAACAAATCTATTTTTCTTCACATTAATGATGATATTTCGATCAATCGCACTGGTGGTCTTGCGTTTTTGTTTTCTACCAGCCACACTAGCAACGGTTACCACACTAGTTACGGTAGTTCAAATCAGATTATGCTTCTTAACAATTAAGAACTTGTAAAAGAAATTCCTGTTTCTTTTTGGATCGTAGGATTTTCCTTGATTTTTCAAATCAACTATGAGGCTTTATTTATTTTTTTACATCTTTGCTTCCAACAAGGCTTCAAGCAACCATTAATTAATGTTGGAAGTTAGTGGAAAATAAAAAATAAAGATTGTAGAGCAAGATAACGATTGACAGACGACTTAGAAGATTGCAAATGTTCGAGGAAAAAAACTAGATGAGTAAGAGTTTTTGGAGTACTTAGGAACAGTCACAGAAAAAGGATAAGACTTAATTGAATGACGAGTAACACAAGAATGAATTTTAGTAGATGGCACAAGAGGCGCTAGCTCTTTAGAGCAGTGCTAATTATAGTATTTGTAGAAAAGAGAAAGAGAAGCAACATTGCGACGATGTGATAATGGTTGAAGGTTGGCTGCAAGAGCAGGTCCAACTATGTTTACAATGCGTTTTTGCACCTTGCCTAAAAGAGAAAAGGCATCATTAGAAGATCCACCCCAGATATGGCAACAGTATTCCATACAAGGCTGGATTTGAGATATATAGAGATAGAGAATAGAATCCAGAGTAAGAAAGTGTCGAGCTCGATAAAGATATGCAACTTTAGCAGATGCTAATTTTGCAACGGATTTGATATATGGTTTCCAAGAAAGATCAGAGGTAAGAGTTAATCCTAGAAGATGAAGTGTAGATGACTCATTGAATTCATTACTGTTTATAAATGTAGGAAGGTCTAAATTATTGCCATAACAATTAGCTGAAAAAAAAAGAGTTTTATCTGAATTAAAGTTCACCAGCCACTGTGAGCCCCATGCTGTAGCTGTAAGATCCTTTTCAAGCTCAAATGCCCCCTGCAAGCAATCAGAGGGAGTTGGCTTCTTATCGTGACAAGAATAAATGGTAGTGTCATCAGCGAACAATGCCACCTTAGATGTGAGAAAATCTGGAAGATCGTTAATGTAAATTAAAAAGATTATAGGGCCAAGGATTGAACCTTCAAGAACCCCTGAGGTTAAAGAATAAGAAGAAAAGTGCTGTCCATCAAGGACAACTTTTATACTACGATTGGAAAGGAAGGGTTCGATAATCTTAAAGATGTTTCCAGATACACCGTCAGAAGAAAGCTTGTGGAGAAGACCAGCATGCCAAACTTTTTCAAATGCTTCAGAAATGTCAAGAGTGATGGCCTTAACCTCTCCAACTTTACCTACTACACAATAAAAACTATCCGTTATTACTGTTAGCAAATCAGCCGTAGAACAAGAAGATCAAAATCCATATTGATGATCAGAAATTAAGTTAAAAGATTCAAGATGAGAGATTAAGTCTTTTTTAATTAAAGATTCAAAAACCTTGCTTATGATAGGAAGAAGACTTATGGGACGGTAGTTAGACGAATCAGATCGCTCTCCAGAATTTTTGAAAATAGGGATAACAGATGCTGCTTTCCAGCAGGCTGAAAAACAAGACTCTGATATGCACTTGTTGAATAGTTTTGAAAGGATAGATGACAGCTCCGGAGAACAGTTCTGCAAGACTATAACAGGTATTGTCTGGGCCGCAAGCTATAGAAGAGTCTAAGCAGGAAATCACTTTAGATACAGAAACTAGAGTGATACGGATGTCGAGCAATAGATCAACCTGTTTGACAGCTATATCAGGTAGAGCGCAACTAGTTGAATAAAGAGATGATATTGATGAAAAGTTCTTGGCAAATAATTCAGCTTTGTCTTTAGGTGAGGTGACAAAGTCTGAACCATACAAAAGAGGTGGAATTACAGACTTGCCCTTATTATTGATACTATTAAAGATTTTCCAGAAGTCACGAGAGCCTAATTTTTGAGATGAAATACAAGATTTCATGACCTGAGAATAGCGAGCTTTGGCGTTAAACAAAACCTTTTTACAATGGTTCCAAGCAGTAATATACAGACGTCTGTTTTTTGAGAATTGTTTTGTTGATAGATATGGAAGTAATGGTTACGATTGGCAATTGCAGCAGCACAATGCGAGGAAAATCATGGAGAAGAGTGAGGCTTGACCTGCAATTGTTGAGAGGGAATAAAGGCTTTTATGCCAGCCTGAATCCACGAAGTTATGTAAGAAGCACATTTATCAACAGGAAGACGGACGATTTCTATCCAAGGGCCATCATGAAGAAAATCACGGAAAGAGTCCTTGTCAGTTTTAAGGCAGTTGTAAGATGTATTATGATAGGGGGATTCTGATGATAAAGAAGAATGAGATAATAATTTTAGAAATAACAAACTGTGATCAGAGGCACTTAAGGGTGAATGTGGATTAACTGAGCACTGACTAGGATCAGAAACAAGACATAAGTCGAGTAGAGAAGGTAAATGATTCGGATTGTCTGGAAAGTGAGATGAAAAGTTGACTATTTGAGTTAGGGATTGAGAAAGGCAAAAGTTGTGGGCCTTAATGCCTGCAGAGTCACTGACACTAGAGCCAAACCATTTAGTGTGGTGAACATTAAAGGCAACAACAACAACAATATTTGCTGATGGATAAAGAGAGAGGGCTAGGTCAATATGATCAGAAATAACATCAAGAAGAGTGCAGTCTTGAAATGAAGGAGAGTGATATAGAAGATTGAGAAAGGTGGTAAAGTGAAGTGGTGCTAAACAAAAGCACATAAAAGAGTAGTCTGGATTCAAATCTAGTTTTCTGACAAATGGGTGAGTTCTTACGAATGTAAATGCCCAGGCCAAGCATGTGACTATTTGAGTCTTAACGAATTAAAGGAAGATAACCATTAACACTAAGATCACAAGATGAGACAGGTGAACTCAAACTAGTCTCACAAAGAGCAAGTAGGTCTGGTGAATTTTGCAAGAGATAAAACTCAACAGAAGAAAAGTTACTTTTAAAACCATGAATATTAGTGAATGATAGATTTAACGAACTTGGTGATGATAGTAGTTTTTTGTGTTTTATAGTTTTTGTTGAACTTGACTCGAAACATAGATGGTACTCAGTACACTGTTTAATAGCCCAAGCAACTGTCTTATTACCATTAATAAACCCTAAGTTGTAACAAAAGGCTCCAATGTGGTCTTTGTAATGCACACCAAAAGTACAAACAGGGAAACCATCCATGCGCAACATGGCTCTGTTAGTACTTTGATATTTTTCACCTATTGATGGAATCAGCCTATCTCTGAGAGTTACCACAGAGTTCGGGAAACCTGAATACCAGCCGGCCTCAGAACCATAAAACTGAGTTTTAGAGCTGTACCATCATTAGGAGATAATAGAATGAGTTGCCTAGTCATAAAAATAGAGACACAAGCAAAACTCATGCATCAAATCAAAAAGATCCAGCATTCAACATCATAAACTGGAAACAATGTATTAAAAATGCGTCTGCACCAACCCAATAAATGAAGAATGGGTGCGAGGCTTGTCAACAGATAGAATCTGTTTACCCCTTAAGTCTTTGCCGAAGAGGCCTTCTACAAGACAGCAGCTGGCTGCATTTATCATCTGGCTGCTGTCTTGTACATTTGCCCAAAATGAGTATTTTTATCGAGACACTATCTCTAGCCTTTACTCAATCAAGAGCCCCAAGGCAGGGGGTGCCTTATGTTGGAGTTTGCATCTCCTAGTTTCCACCTTTGCCTAAAAAGGCGTATCCTACAAGGCAGCAGGACATGGAGTATATTGGACTGGGTCACATGTTACCAGTAGCAGGATAAATCTGACCTGACAATAATATAAAACCTGACCTGAAAATATATATATATATATATATATATATATATATATATATATATATATATATATATATATATATATATATATATATTTATTTTAATTCACCTCCTCAAGGCCGAGAAGGCCACTACAGACGAGGAGGCTACTTATTTGTGGCTATAACCCTCTCTCAACTCTATAACTCGGAAACACGAACCTTGACGAATAAGGCCGCTGCGCAGAGAAACGAGTTGAGCGCGGTACTACCAGGGACGTGGTGGGGTCGAACTCGAAACCACTCGTTTATGAAGCGAGCGCTCTACCACTACACCACTACCGCATATATATATGTATTTAAAAAAATTTATGCTAAAATAACGACCTATTTTGTTAGCAAAAGATATTTTTTTTGCAGTCAATTTTATGCATCATTAGATCAATTGTGTAAAATTCAATAGGTTTGAAAAGCAATTAATTCACTAATTTCCAACTAAATTCTTAAAACAATACTTAATAAGATATATAAAAAATTTTTATTTTTATTTAACTAGACAACTATTTTTTTTTGGTTTAATCTTGAAAATTATGATTTTTTTTTAAGTGTACAATTAAATTTTTTTTGTATACTGTATATATATATATATATATATATATATATATATATATATATATATATATATATATATATATATATATATATATATATATATATATATATATATATATATATATATATATATATATATATATATATATACTTTACTTTAGACTGCTGCTGATAAGTTAAGTTGCATTCATCGTTGTTGTATAACTATTATGAATTTATTAAGTATGGCATCTGATAAACATACTCCTGGAGCTGATGACTTTGTTCCAGTTCTCGTTTATGTGGTTTTAAGAGCTAACCCACCTAATCTTCTCTCAACTAAGCAATATGTTAATACATTTTATGAAACAAGGCTTAATGGAGAAGAGTACTACTGTTGGATGCAGTTTTGCGCAGCTATCGAGTTTATAAAAACTTTACTGTCATCATTATTGAAGTCAAACGCAAATTAGAATGTTATTAGTTGAATATTTTATATTATTTTGTTTAGTTTGTGTTTTGGAAGTTGTTTAGTTTTTTATCTGAAATATAAAAAGTATTTCTTGTCCCCCAAGAAATAAATAATAAATCGTTAGAATTTTCAAATATTTAATTTTATTTTTTTAGGGATTTTATTAATAATTTTTTGATAATAACTTTTATATTAATTTATTACTAAATAATTATTAAATTATAATTTAAAGGCAAGATCATTTTATGTGTTATGTAATTTTAGTTTAAAAAAAAAAGATTTTATATAGTTTTTGTAATATTTTTTAATTTTAGTACAATAATTGTGTGTGGATACAAAACGTTACTAATTACTTTAAACTTAAATAGTCATATAAAAGGGCTTCAGTACATACATGGTCTAAGGATTAGGGTTTTTGTATATACATATGAATGTTATTTATCATAACAAAGTTATTTGTTTTAAAAATTATTATTAGATCATGTGGCCTTATAAATCTGCAGTATAATATATGTATATATATATATATATATATATATATATATATATATATATATATATATATATATATATATATATATATATATATATATATATATATATATATATATATGGATGTATGTATAAATAAAACTATAAGTTTGCTTGGCATACTTTAGTTTTTTTCTTTAGTTGATGTATGTACACTCTGATGCGACCATGTGCTCTAAATTATTTAATGTATGTGCACTAAGCCACTACCAAGTTAAAGTCAACACTCAGCTCACTTTGGGAAATGTTCTATTTATATTCAATAAAATTATTTGCAATTTAAAAAATTTCAAAACTTTGTCATTTTCCTGGGAAAAACAAAACAAACTACATTTTCATGGCTTCATTTAAGTATTGCAAAATAGAACAGAACTTCACTTAAAATACTATTTTTGCGTCATAAATTGTTATAACAACAACAAGTTCGCCATTTTTTAATGTTTGCATTTTTTTTGTTGGGAAAAGGATATTTTTTGCAATGTTTTAAGATATAAAATATTATATAAAATCTAATACGGATAAAGTATTTATATAAGCCATATATTTAGTTTCTTTTTCAGACTAAATTTAAATATTAAAAATGAATGCAAAATGTGAATCTGGGAAACCAACAAGAAAAAGAATACATAATATTATAACTAGACATGAAAGTGAAAGATATGCTGGGCAACCAAACAAACTACCTGTTAGTGACCTCCCAACATATAAACAGATTATTCAATATGCCTATAAGGTTTAAAAAGAAATGATTACAACTAAAAAAATTGATTCTGCTGCCATAGTTTTAAAAGTAAGTGAAGAAATTTTAAAAATTTGGAAAAAATTGAATCCAAATCTTCCATTAATAAAGAAGAAACCTCTAAGAAATAAGTTACAAAGAACATTTCAAAAAGTAATTGCAGCTAAAGCTTCAAAATATAAAAACTGTTTGTTGGTTGGAAAATAATCTATCAAAGTTATTTGATATAACATGCAGATGTGAACTTCCTCTTTTAAATTGTGATGACAGGTTTGAAGTTAGGTTTTTTAAAAAGCCACAATATTAAACAATATGTTTGTTCAAACAAATTTGTGACTAAATTGTCAAGAAATTTTACAGTTGTACAGTTTTTTTATTTCTTCTCAAATTATGGGATTAAATTTTATTTTACATATTACTCTTTAGAAATGTTTGATGCAAGGGTTGCTCTAACAACCACTATGTATGTCTCTGTGAAGAAAGCAAACTGGTTACATTTTTTTTATTATTGTTTTTTATGCTTTTTATTATTTTAAATTCTATAAGCTTTAAATAGAGTTTTTTTTAATTTAAGGTTCCAGTTCTAGAACAAGAGTATTTAAAGAATCAGAAAGCTAAGAAAGGGCCCTTTGGAACCTGGCAGATAGGCCAAATTGATAAGAAAGAGATCAAAAGAAAAAGAAGTAACGAGAAAATTAATTTAACAAGTGACACAGCAATTCATTCAGATGATGATTGTATCAGTGAAACTTATGATGTGGAAATAGATAACAATTATGATTATAAAAATCAGAATCGTGAATTTTTTTGCAAAACCACTGTGTAAAAAACACAGTGGTTTTGCAAAAAAATTACACAGATTTAACTAACATTGCCAAAGCTGCTATCAGATTCGAAGTTAGTGACGCTGCAATATCTGCCATAGCAACTGCTACCTATATAGGCTATCAAATTATAAATCAGAATGATAGATCACAAATTATCACTGAAAAAAAGATATTTGACACTAAAAAGCGTGTTTCAACCATGATTAGTGAAAAATACAGTTTAGAAGTTTTTCATTTGAAAGTCATTGGAGTAGATAGTAAAAAAGACAAAAAAACATTAGCACATGTATTAGGATATGATCATTATGCAGAACCTATTATTAATAGAACAGTAAAGGATGAACATCACTTAACTTTTACTGCAGAAAGTGGACCTTTTACTAAGAAATATTTAACTCATATTGAAATAAAAAATGGAACAGGAATTACAATGGCAACCGAGACAATAAAAATAATCGAAAAGTTCAACAGCATTAGTAGTTTGGAAGCCATTGTTCTTGATAATACTTCTGCTAATACTGGTGCAGATATTGGCTTAGTTGTGACATTAGAATGGTTTTTAAATCGACGAATCTATTTAATAGGATGTGTACTTCACCAAAATGAGTTACCACTTCGCCATGTCATACATGAAGTAGATGGTAAAAGTAACGATCCAAAGAAATAAAAGGGCCTTATTGGGCAAAAAACATCTGCAGGTGATTTGCATGATTTACCAATAGTTGCTTTTGTTCCGATTCATTCAGAGATTGATTCCTATGTAAACTCTGATATTTTATCTGATCTTAGTACAGATCAATGTAAACTTTATGAATACTGCATTGGAATATCTTAAGGCTTTATATCTCCAAAATATTCAATGAAAAAACCAGGACCCGTTTACCATGTCAGATGGTTAACTCTAGCTTTAAGAGTAATGATGGTTTATACGAGAGTGAAGAATCCTACAGATGAGTTGTGTACAATTACAAAGTATGTAGTACAAGAATATTGCCCCATGTGGTTTGCCCTTAAAAGGTATGGTCTTTATAAAGATGCTCCTAGACTTCTTCATAAGACAATAGAGCTTGTTAAAAATCAGGCAGACAATATACAACAAATTGTTTTTCAAAATCTTCAAGGAAACTCTTATTGCTGTCTTCAAGAAAACTTTTTATATTCTATGTTGCAAGATGATGAAAAAGATATAATGGCTCAAGCTATTAAGTAAGTTTTGCACACGAGGCAATCAAGATTGACAAACTATGCCTATTAACGCTGATACATGGAGTAGTTTAGTTGATGTTTCTTTAATTAAGGCTGAACTTTAAACTTCTATCCTAGTTTCATCATTTGAATTAGAGAATGCTTTGCAAACTTCTGAAAAACCTATTCTTACGGATTTACCCAACAATTCCCAGTCAGTGAAAAGGTCCGTGAAGCTTGTATCAGAGGCATCAAAGATTAAAACCGAAGCAGAGTAGAAAATAAATGTAATTCATCTAAAACTGATTACTTTATTCCTTTTTCTTGAGAAAATGTTTTGTTTTTTTTTAAATTTAATTTTGTTCACATACCTAAGTCCGAAGGTATACTTGACTTGACTACTGTCAAGAATTATCTCCCTTCAACCCTTAACTTCGAAATCATCCTTGTGCAGAAAAACATGTTGAACAGGATAATTTCAGAAATAAACAGGGACCAAGGCAGCCAGAACCAAAATTTTAAAAGAAAAGTTTTAAAAAAGTTGGGGGGGGGGGTAACACTCTTGCCCCTCTGCCCCCTGTTCTTATCCCAGTGTTTAAGATTATATGGTAAATATTCATTCTATAATATTCAAATATTCTAATGGAAAGAATATTTATATCAAAGCTTGTACTAAAGTATAATAAATATTGAGAATGCCATAAAAATAATTAATTCATTGAAAACAAGAAAATACTTAGAAACTTCAAAACCATTTCCCAAAATTGCCTATAATCCAATCAGTCTGAAATTTTCAGGATTGTCTTAAAATCATATGTACAACAAATCCCAAAGTGAGCCAATATGATCTGAGAAAAAAAGTATATTTTGGTAGTGGCTTAATGTGCACTCATTGCATCTATCTTAAAAACAGAGTGGGCCTAAGTTTTTTTAAAAAGCAAATATTAGTTTTATTGTGTATATATATTGAATAGTTACATAATTGTTAAATGTTTAGTTTTTGTTTTATCTGCCTCACTATTATCCTATGGTTCTTTCCTTGACATCCAAATATACTCTGACTTCTTGCTTGTTTAGTTTTTATACAATAGTCTGGGCACTCTTGTTGATTTATTACATGCAAGATTTTATGCAAAAAACAATCTGCTATTTGCTGTTGAATTATTCTACATTTATCAAATGGAATTTTTGAGAAAAGAAGAATAAAATAAACTTAGATTTGATATGAAACTTATTTTTAATGTAAACAATAGGATAAATAAAACAAATATTCAAAAATCAGAGGTTTGGGTTTAAACTTCAGTCAAAGTAAAGTAAACTTTTTTTCAAAAAAAACTTGGACAGTTTTTTTGACCCTACTTTATATAATTTTTTTTCTTTTTTTTTTTTTGTGTTTTTATACATTTTTTATAGTATTAGTTTTATATTTACATCATTATTATAGTATTATAAAAAGTATACAAAAATATGCACAATCTTTTAATGCTTCTACTTTAAAGTTTTTATTGTGATGATGACAATTTTTTTTTTAAGCTATATTAAAAAAATATTAAAAATGGCGAAAGGTATAAGAGTAAACAAGATGAAGAAGGTATGAATATTTATTCAGACAATTTTTGTTCTTATTTTTATTATAACAACAACAAATAATAACTAGTAATAATAATGCAAACAACAACAAATAATAAAAACAAATAATAATGAGTTCAAGGTTCAAAATGTTTCTATGTCATAGAAAATGTTTATGAGTTTGTATGTAGAGTTTAATTCTAAGATTGTCACCAATGCTTTCGGAAATGATGAAAAAAGATCTTTAAAATGTAATTTGTTAAATGTTTGGGTAAAACCTTTTTTTTATTTTTGTCGCCAGACCAAAAGAACTGCCAGACCCTCACTGACAATAATCAATAAATTGAGTTTTAAAAAAAAATGTTTTGCCAATATCTCAACAAGCAGCCATGACACTGTGATTATAGTTCTGGTTCAGAACTCTAACCACTGTGTCACTGTGATTCCAGAGGCCCATAGTTTTATTGTCCTTTTTCAAGATTTTTTCTTGTTATCTTAGCATGTGTCACAATTTTTATAAGAGTTAAATTCTATTTAAGAAAAAGTGAGGCTAAAGCTTATTTTAGAAAACATTTGTATTTCAGAGACTTCCCTTCAGGGACTACCCTGCGGTTTCATAATTTTTATTTTAATGAAGCTGTACTTAATTTGTTCACATTATTCAAACTTCTTTTAAATACATTGACGTAACTGCTGACTAGTAATAGCACAAACTGTAATTAAAGCACAAATCTATAGGATGTTTTAGGTGATATGTCAAAATTACTGCAGTTCAAGTAGAACATTAGATGAACCTATGACATATAAGACATAGTAATCATGGATTTGTATGGTAGATCTTGTCTTATGTCACTAACTTTCAGGCTACTCTGCTAACAAAGTTCCAATTTTTTTTTTTTTAGGTAAACACTTATGACAAATTATGAGTTATATATTATAATAGAGTTATAATAGAGTTATATGTTATAATTTATGAGTTATGCACGTACTAATGTGTAACAGTTTAGGTACATTAAACTGATTTGTGCAAACATTTTCTTTACTAATGATGTTGTTTAATTGTGTTTCTATCAATTTCAAGGAAGATATTTGTGTTTCCAACATGTTTATATTGATCAAACTGTGCAGTTTAATAGGGACAATATTTTGCATAAATTTATAAACTTACATCTCAGGTTAAGGTTTTAATTTAGAAAGCACCTGCTGCTTATTTTTTAAAATCTAGTTTGAAAAAAGTCATTTAAGGTTGGTCTAGTAATAACTTATAATTACTATTATACAAAAAATATTAAAATATGTGTATTGTAGCAGCAAAATAACTTTGAAAATTTTTTTTAATTATTTTTTTGTTTGTTTATATTTTAGGGTTCACAAAAGCAATTTCATAAAATTCAACGAATTAAAAAGAAGCATTTTAAAAGTATGGCTAAAAAAGTTAATATTTTAGAATGTGCTACAGAGAACAAATTATCTGATCAGCTTACAACAGGGTATTTTAAATATTAGTTTATGTTAACAAATTTAAAAAAAAACTGATTATAAGGCCACATATGTCAATAAATTCTAGAAAAGCTTACTTTTATATTGTCTGCTTTAGGTCAAAAGGAAATCATGTAAAACTAACCGTTCAACAGAAAAAAGCTAAAAAGAAAATGAATAAAAAGTTAGCAAAAATTGCCAGAAAAGGTATTTAGAAATTATTATCCAAAATTTTTTTGATGTTGATTGCCTATAAATTCATAGAAAAAAAGAAAAGTTTTCTTATTCTCTCAACTTTTTATTTTGTTCCATTTAATGAAAAAATGATATTGGGAAATTTTTGGATAAAATCTGTTGACGTTTAGGGGTTGCTTAGTAAATTTTTAAGTCTGCAGGGTTGCTCAAACCCACATCATTCATATTATATCATTTATCTATTCTGTTTTATTAAGGTAAGAATGTTATCAATGTTTTATTATTATGAATGTTATAAATATTTTATGTTTTACCTAAGGCAAGAATAGCATTAATATTTTATTGATTATTAGTCTTTTAAGTCATTCTGCATAATACGCATTGTTATTTTTTTCAGAAAATTATTAAGTTAAAAATAACATTAGTTGCCTGGTATTCAGAACACCTAATGTAATATTTCATCACCAATTAATTTATTGCATCAGTGTTGCACTACTGCTGAAATTATTGCATTATCCTGAAATTACAAATGAAATCGTTGTCTTGAATGAAAATACATTATTTGACAAATATTTTCAAAGTTCATTGAAAATAAATAGTAACTGGAAGTCAAAATGAAGTATGGTGTATTGGTCAAGCTACATCTGTGATCACAGGGCACAAGTTGCCCTATTGTTGTAAATTAGGGAAAGCTGAATAAAAAACAGGTTGCAAAACAAAAATTCATCTAAGAAATGAAGGAACTTTTACTCAAAAAATTAAAGAACTATTTGATATTGCTCATGAAGGTGAAAAATTAATCACAATAGTAGAAGTCAAGGTGTTTCTTATACTACAAAGAGAAGAAAGAATATGCTGGAGGATTTTAGTTGATTGTAAACTATACAAACAAGAACAGTGAATTTTAGACGAAAAAAAGCTAACAACAAAAGAGATATAAAGGAAAGAAGAAGGAAGTTGTTCAACAGTTTTGACAGAATCAGACTTCTATCAGGTTATTGATAATGATGATGGAATAGATGACTATTCCATCATCAGCCATAAAACTGAAACTAAAAAAGAATAAAAAAACAGAAAAAAAGCAAATGTTTACTCCAGCATTTTGTTCAGCTCTTGATCATTTAAAAATTTCCATTTGGTCTGGTTCCATTTGGTCTGGTTCCTAGCTTTTGTCTATAATTTATCAAGGGTTAGGTGCCATCATATGAATCTCTTTGATGTGCAAGTTGAGAAAAGAATTATTTCAGAATTCAAACTACAGTTTCCATGAACTGTAGATTGGGATGGAAAACGGTTACTTGATTTGAACAGCAGAGGCGTGGATTAACTTGATTAGTGTCAGAATATGCTGTTAAAAA